CAGTCGTTAAGCGTCTGCCTTCGGCTCAGGTCATGATCCCAGGGTCCTGGTATCGAGCCCTGCATGGGGCTCCCTGCTCTGTGGGAAGCTTGCTTTCCCTCTCTCACTCCCCCTGCTTGTGTTCCCTCTCTCGCTGTGTCTCTCTGTCAAATAAATAAATAAAATCTTAAAAAAAAAAAAAGATAACCCTTCCCAGCACAAAGTCATAAAGATATTTTCATATTATCGTTTTTTTTTCTTTTTTTAAATAGGCTCCACGCCCAGCTCAGAGTCCAACTCTGGGTTCGAACTCATAACTGTGAGATCCAGACCTGAGCTGAGACAGAGTCAGACACTGAGCTGACTGAGCCAACCAGGCGTCCCTATTTTCATATTATCTTATTACAACCTTTATAGTTTTACTTCCATGTGTTGTTTAGGTTTCTAATCTACTTTGCAATAAATGTTAATGTTGTGAATCAGGTACCTAATTTCATTTTTTTCTTCATACAGATATATAAGTCTCAGAACCTTATGAATTGAAAAATCTGTCCTTGCTGTGTGCTCTGCAGTGCCTATGTAATACATAAATGTCCACATGTGCATGAGTCTGTTTTTGAGCTCTTGTATCTTTTCCATAGTGCCTTAATTCCTATAACTTTACAATAAATCTTGATACTGGTAGAGTATATGTAAGAATGCCTTACATATTCTTGGCCCTTTATATTTCCATATCAATTTTAGAATCAGCTTATCAGGTTCCATAGATTTTGATTGGGATTAAATTGAATCTGTGAATCACTTTGCAGAGAATTAATATCTTTACATTACTGAACTTCAAATCCATGATCATGATGTATATCTTCATTCATTTGCATCTCTTTAAAGTCACTTAATAACGTTTTGTAATTTTCTTTAAAGAGGTCTTGCATAGTTTTTGTTCAGTTCCAGTGTACTCGACATTTTAAAAAAATTTTATTTATTTATTGAGTGCTAGTCTGGGGAAGATTTGGCGGGGGGGGGTGGTGGTGGTGGAGAGGAGCATCTCAAGCAGACTCCACACTGAACGCGGAGCCTGACTCAGGGCTTGTTCTCACAACTCTGAGATCATGACCGGAGCTGAAATCAAATGTACGATGGTGTCTTTGGTGCCCCTTGACATTTTTTATTCAACTGGAAATGGTGTTCTTTTTCGTTGTTTAGCTTTATATTGTTTGTATATGGAAATGTGATTACATTTTATGTGCTGATGCTATATGTAGCAACCTTTTTATTGATTATCATTTATAGATTCTTTTGAGTTTTCTGCACATGTAGGCATAGTATTTGCAAATGACAGCTTTTTTTTCTTTTCTAATTCCTATACCTTTTATTTATTTATTTTTTTAAAGATTTTATTTATTCATTTGACAGAGAGACAGCGAGAGAGGGAACATAAGCAGGGGGAGTGGGAGAGGGAGAAGCAGGCTTCCCGCCGAGCAGGGAGCCTGATGAGGGGCTCAATCCCAGGACCCTGGGATCACGACCCGAGCTGAAGGCAGACGCTTAACGACTGAGCCACCCAGGAGCCCCTCTTTTTCTTATTTTACTATACCAGCTAGTGTTCAGTAGAACTGGTAACATCAGACATTCTTTTGTTCTTCATCTCAGAGAGACCAATTTCATGTCATTTGCATAGGATTTTTTAGAAGCACCCTTTAACAGATTATAAAAGTGTCCTTCTAGTCTTAATTTTCTAAGAGGTTTTGTTTGCTTTTTAATCATAAGTAAATGTTGAATTTTGTCAAGTACTTGTCCTGTATCTTTTTAAATGGTCATAAGACCTTTTCTTTTAATCTGTTAATGTAGCATATTTCACTGATTAAACTTTTTAGAGTTAAAAACCACCTTGCATTCCTGAGATAGACCAAACTTGCTATTTGCATCTTTGCTCATAAATGAGACTGGCTTGTAATTTTCCTTTCTTGTATCATCCTTTCCAAGTTTTAGTATCAGGCTATGCTATCCTAAAATGAGTTAGGGAGTAAGTCTTTTTGTTCTATTCTCTGGTGCAAGTTTTATATAGTATTAGAATTACTTCTTGAGTGTATCTGGGACTGGGATATTTGTGTGTGTTGGGGGGACAATTTTAAAAATTATGAAGTAACAGTTACAAGAGTATTCAGATACTCTATTTCTTTGTGATTCAGGTTTGCCTATCTTATCTATATTTTCTAGTCTCTTAGCATAAAATTGTTCATAATACTCTTTTTACCTTTAATGTCTATAGAATCTGTAGTTCTGTACTTTTTTTCATTCCCAGTATTGGTTATTCATATCTTATCTCTTCAGTTTGCTAGAGAGGTTTGCCAATTTTGTGTTTTCAAAGAATTTCTGGCTTTGGTGCTCTGTTGCATGGTTTGTTTTCTGTGTCATCAGTTCTGCTTTTTTATTCGTTCTATGTTTTTAAGGTTTATTTTGCTGTTCTTTTTGTAACTTCTTCAGGTAAATGTTTATTAGCTTACTGATTTTAGCCTTTTTTTCTAATACATGCATTTAAAGCTGTACATTTCTGTTTGTAAGTTCTGCATCCCACAGTTTTGGTATGCAGCATTTTTACTAGTGCTCATTTCTAGATAATTTTCAGTGTTTCATTATGATGTATCTGTTGACTCATGGGTTATTTAGCAGTTTATTTCTTAATTTCTAAATACGTGAAGATTTTCCATTTAACTTTTTGTCATTAATTTCTGTCTTAATTGAACTGTGGCCAGAGAGTTCTGGATTTCAGACCTTCAAAATTTGACTGTGGCCCAGTGTATGGTTGCTTGTTATGAATGGTCCATATATGCTGGAAAGTATGTGTTCTTTAGATGTTGGGTGTATTATTCCATAAATGTCCACTAGGCCATGTTTTTTATTTTTTATTATTTTTATTTTTTTTAAGATTTATTTATTTATTTGAGAGAGAGAGGGAGAGAGAGTGCATGTGAGTTGGGGGAGGGGCAGAGGGAACAAATCTTCAAGCTGACACTCCCCTGAGTGTGGAGCTCAGTGGTGGGCTGGAGCCCAACACGGGGCTCAATCCCACAAACCATGTGATCATGACCTAAGCTCTGAAACCAAGAGTCGGACGCTCAACCAACTGAGCCACCCACGTGTCTCTAGGCCATGTTTTTTAATCCTGAAGTTCGAAACGTGTGTATTTCATAGATTTTTGTTTTACCTGCTGATTCTGTCAGATACTGAGAGAGTTGTTAAAATCTTCTGCTACAGTTGTTCCTGTTGTATCCTCCTGGGAAATTGAAATTTTTAAACTGAATATGTGTATCTCATATTTTTTACTTTAGATTTTCTGTTGCGGGGCGCCTGGGTGGCTCAGTCGTTAAGCGTCTGCCTTCGGCTCAGGTCATGATCCCAGGGTGCTGGGATCGAGCCCTGCGTCGGGCTGCCCGCTTGGCGGGGAGCCTGCTTCTCCTCTCCCACTCTCCCTGCTTGTGTTCCCTCTCTCTCTCTGTCTCTCTCTGTCAAATAAATAAATAAATAAATCTTAAAAAAAAAAAAAAGATTTTCTGTTGCTTAATATAGCTGTACTTTTTTTTTTTTTTTTTTACTATTTGCCCATCCTATTACTTTCAGTCTTTCTGTGTCCTTGTTTTATGTGTGTCTCTTATAACCAGTGAATTGTAGTGTTTATTAAGTCCAACCAGGTAATCTGTATCTTTTAACTGGGGCAGGTTAATCAATTTGCATATGATATAATTACAGTACTTATATATTTGAATTTATACCTCCATTTTATTTTAGTCTTTCCATTTCTTTTTCTCTTTTTTTCCCCTCCTTTTTTTGAATTGATTTTTAAAATAAATTCTTTGTCCTCACCCTGGTAATAGTATGGAAGTTACACTTTCTATTTCCCTTTTTTCAGTTGTCTCCTGAGAGATTCTAGTAGGCATTCTTACTACAGAAGCCCAGTGTTAATCATCACCTTTCCTCTCCTTCCAGGATCAGTGCATTAGGACCCTGTAACTCCATTTGTTCTCTTCAGTTTAGTGCTTTATGTATCTTTAAATCTCACATGACATTATTTCATGTAGGGAATATCCATGTAAATTTATCCATATATTTATTTATTTTTAAGCTTTTCACTTTTTTCTTGCATCACACCTCTCTGTGATAATCTTCTTGCCAGCAGTATGTCCCTTGCATTTCCTTTATTGTGGGCTAGCTGGACGTGAACTCTCAGTTTTTGGTTGACTACAAATACTTCTCCCCTTGCCTTCTTGAAACATACTTTAACTGAATACTGAATGCTAGGTTAATAGAATGCTAAGATAGGGGAAAGGAGTGGGAAGGAGGGGAGAGAGAGAGAGCATGAGTGAGCGGGGCAGAGAGAAGCTCAAGCAGACTCCATGCCGAGCGTGGAGCCTAATGTGGGGCTTGCCTGGAGGCTTGATGTGGGACTCTTCTCAGGGCTTGATCTCATGACCCCAAGATCATGACCCTGAGATCTTGACCTGAGCCAGAACTGAGAGTTGGATGCTTAACTGACTGCACCACCCAGGTGCCCCTGGTGTCTCAGAATTCTAAGGACACTAATCCTGTTGTATCAAGGCCCCACCTTTATGACCTCATTCAATGTTAATTACTTCCTTAGAGGCCCTATCTCCAAATATAGCCACACTGATGGGGTTACAGCTTCAACATGTGAATTTGGGGGGGTTGCAAACAATGAGTCCACATACTAGGTGGCATTTATATAATGGTTGAGGGTCTTACGGCTTATAATTATATTACTTCTGATGTCTCTACTGTTGATAATAGTGAATCACTTTCCATGTATTTGGGCATATTCTCCCCCATAATTATTTAGCAAGTGTATAGGGAAGAGAATAAAATTTATCTTTGCATATGTTTCTGTAATCTACAGAATTTGTTGGTGAGGTTGTTGTACACTTCCCAGCTAAATTCTAACCATCTATTGTAGTTTAGTAAAGATTTTCAACTTATTTACGTATTGACTTTGTTTTTCTTCATCGTAGCTGTGTTGGTGTAGAAGAACATCATGCTGTTGACATTGACCTTTATCACTGTCCCAACTGTGCAGTTCTACATGGTTCCTCCTTGAGTAAGTATTAGAAACTTAAATAAAAACCGAAGTTTAGAATTCAATGTGTACATGACAATATATATATATATTTTTAAAGATTTTATTTATTTGAGAGAGAGAGAATGAGAGACAGCATGAGAGGGAGGAGGGTCAGAGGGAGAAGCAGACTCCCCGCCGTGCAGGGAGCCCGATGCAGGACTCGATCCCGGGACTCCAGGATCATGACCTGAGCCGAAGGCAGTCGCTTAACCAACTGAGCCACCCAGGCGCCCTACATGACAATATTTTAATAATAACTTTGACTAGTTATGTTACACCCACCAGGAACTATAGGGAATATTTTTCTGAAGATACTGAGAATACAGTTTCTGTCTGAATTATTGAATAACATTTAATAAGTCAAGAAGATAAAATGAAAAAAATACTGGTTTTTTTTCCCTTTAAAGATTTATGTATCTATTTTAGAGAGAGAGTGGGAGAAAAAGCGAGTGTGTGTGAGTGGTGGGGGACAGAGGAGAGGGAGAGGAAGAGAATCTCAAGCAGACTCCCCACTGAGCACGGACCCCGACATGGGGCTTGATCCGATGACCCTTGATCACGACCTGAGCCGAAATCAAAAGTTAGATGTTTAACCACTTAACCCAGGTGCCCCCAAAATACTATAACTTTTAATTGCCAGTGCAAAGCCCCCAAACTTAAGGACATATATTCAAAGTTTCAATTTGAGAAGTGTGGAAAAGTAAAATATTCTGATTCTGGAAACTGATTTAAAATGTTTTTATCTTTTTATAAATTAAAAAACCTTTCAGTAATATTTGGGACAGTGTACAGGATAAGACTTTAATGCACACACATGCATTATGTTTTTAGGGGGAAATTCGGGTATCAATATGCTGAAATGTTACTCTGTTTTCTGGATTTGGTCAGCAGTTTGAGTACGGCCTAGAGTCCTGCCCAGTTTGAAACCCCACCCCTGTCCCAGTCCCATTCTGAGGAAGGCAGAGGCCAGAGCAAGTGTCTGCCCACCCTCTTCTGTCTGAGGGGCAGGGTGCAGGCCCGGAAGTTCATGTGCCCTCTGGGGTGTACCAGTATCACACATAAAATGATATTTATCCCTAGCCTTTTACAGATGCTTCAGAAGAATAGATTGGAGTGTTAATTGTGCAGAAAGAAAGTAGAGATAACGTTTAAAAAAGCTTTGAAGGATGTTGTAACTTTCTTTTTAAAAAAAATTTAGACTGCAAGCTAGCATTTTGTGTTCATTAAAACTAAAGGGAAAAACTATAGATTTAGTCATAGGGACTTTTTCCTGAACATACTTTGATACACATTTGGGTGAGATGTAGGTGACCTATACAACCTCTTTTATTATCATTAAAAAAATTTTTTTTTTGAGAGGAAGAGAGAGGGCGCCTGGGTGGCTCAGTTGGTTAAGCGACTGCCTTCGGCTCAGGTCATGATCCTGGAGTCCCGGGATCGAGTCCCGCATCGGGCTCCCTGCTCGGCGGGGAGCCTGCTTCTCCCTCTGACCCTCCCCCCTCTCATGTGCTCTCTGTCTCTCTCATTCTCTCTGTCTCAAATAAATAAATAAAATCTTAAAAAAAAAAAAAGAGAGAGGAAGAGAGAGAGTCTTAAGCAGGCTCCATGCCCAGCACAGAACCTGATGCGGGGCTCAATCTCATAACCCTGAGATCAAGACCTGAGCTGAGATAGAATCAGACTCCTAACTGACTGAGCCACCTAGGAGTCCCCCTAGTACTTTTTTTTTTTAGATAGAAATTTTTATCTGAGATTGTGGGGAAGTAATTTTGTAAAAGAGACTTACTGTCAACTGACTGCTGATCTGTTAGAAATATTAGCAATTTACCTAATTTCTTTGTAAGAGATTTAGAAATTCAAGCTGTAAGAATACATCAAAATATTACATTAAATTTCATAATATGTTACAATACAGGTTATCCATTTTATTAGTTACACAGTATAAAATTTGAGGTTAGCAAATTGATAGAATTGTTAGTATAATTGCCCAGTTTATTGTCATAAATGTTTTTAAAGGTTCTTCTTTTGTGTAGCAGTGAAATATGTGGTATATAACTTGGAATAATTATTGACCAAGTGTAATTCTTGGAGGAAATAAATAATACTGGGTTGTTACCGCAAGAAAGGAAACAACTAAAATTTATAGCAGTTTTAGTTTAGAATTTATGTAATCCCCAAATGAAATAATTTGAATTTAATTTCTATGAAATATTATGTGGGTTACTGAGATGGAACAGTGTCATGTTTAAAACTGTCTGATACGTGATGCATCCTGTTTTCTATTTTTCCTATATGATTTCATTTTTTAAAAAGCTTGTCATGCTCACTAAATTGATTTCATAATCCATAATGGATCACAACCTGCACTTTGAATAATGGTGCTTCAGAGAGAAGCTTGACTATTGTGTGGCCCTTCGTATGCTTCTCTTGCTTGAATAACATAAGATCAGGAATTGGTTATTTTCTGGGCAAAAGTCCAACACTAAATACCCACAGGAAAATGTCCAAGATCCAGTAATTTATTTTATCTTGATTTAAGGCTCACCTCTCTACCTCTCACCCTCCACCCTCAACTTGGGTCATTCCTTTTGGCCCCTTTCCCTCTGCTATTAAGCCTCCCTTGCTTGCCACCTAGGGCTTCCTGTTCTCTCAGAGTTCCCAGGAATCCTTATTGTAGGTACTATTTAGGCAGTATAATATTCACTTGGTTGGTAAATTTAGATTTGACCTTTTTAATGGGAGTTAAGAACTCTATTCAAGGACAAGTATCAAAAAAGCCCCATACTTACACACATACCTCAATGTTCCTCAGGCAAATGGGATCCAAACTCAAAATTTTCTCCCTATGACCACTACTAGAATATTCCTTCCTTTAAGAAATTCAGTCAGCTTCTTGCAGTGGCTGATTTTATGTGTTAAGCATGTTGGCCTAACAGGACACTTGTAGCCTTCTGTTAACATTATGCAAATCTGCTCACTGAAAAGGAAAGAGAAGTAATTGGCAGCTTATTGGATGCCCCAGAAACTATGCCAAGAAGTACTTGACCTATGTTATTTCCTTTGATATTTGTAACACGTTGAGGTGAGAAAAATGATCTAACTAGCTCTTTCATGTAGTTATTTAGCAGAGCTGGAGTTTGAGCCCATAACTGTCCAATCCCAAATCTATTCTAATTCTAATCTATTCTGCCAAAATGAAAATTAAAACAATGTAATATCGTAGTTTACTTATCAAATGGGTAACTTTTCTTTCTCTTTTTTAAATTTAAATTAAACTTAATTTTTTAAAGATTTATGAATTTATTTGAGAGAGAACATGTGCAAGCAGGGGGAGGGGCTGAGGGAGAGGGAGACAAGCAGACCTCCCTGCTGAGCAGGGAGCCTGATGCAGGGCTCGATGCTAAGGCCCCCAGATCATTACCTGAGCTGAAATCAAGAGTCAGATGCTCAACCGACTAAGCCACCCAGGCACCCATCTTTTTTTTTTTTAATGATGATGCTCACTGTTGACTCAGGGCTATAAAATAGGCTGCTTATATATACTGGTAAGAATGTGAGTTACCTACCACTTTTTTGGAGGCAGTTTTGCAATATGTAGCAAGTATCTTAAAAATATTGAGTCTTCTAGCATTTTTAGGAATTTATCCTGAGGAATTAATGAAGGAAACAGATTTATGTATATGAATATTAATCTCAACTTTGTTTGAAGAAAGATTCAGGATGAGCTAAGTGCTTAAGACTCAAAAAAAGGATTATAAAGTGATGCATCTATATCTATGTCTTAAAATTCTAGGCTGCTTTTAAATTGCTTTTGAATATTTAATAAGGAGAAAAATGCTCATGATAGAATAAGAAAGGTAAGCAGGATGAACATCATGATCCCAGTTGAAAATAAAATGGGATTATGTATCTATATATATGTAGAACGGAAGCCTGGAATGAAACACCCTTGAATTTTACAAGTGATTTTAAATGAGAAAAAATAACACACGAAGGGTGCCTTAATGGCATTTTCTAGGAAGGTTGCTTTATGATTCTCAGTTTTTCTCATGAGACTTCTAAAAAATGGGATTTACTCTTTTCCATATTGAGGGTTTGACTGCCATGAATTATTATTATTATTATTATTTTTTAATTTATTTGCGAGAGAGACAATGAGAGACAGAGAGCATGAGAGGGAGGAGGGTCAGAGGGAGAAGCAGACCCCCTGCTGAGCAGGGAGCCCGATGCGGGACTCGATCCCGGGACTCCAGGATCATGACCTGAGCCGAAGGCAGTCGCTTAACCAACTGAGCCACCCAGGCGCCCTGCCATGAATTATTTTGAGAATCTTGTTTTAAACCCTCAGATATGAATAAGCCCAATTTCCTCCTTTATTGATTTAGTGTGACTTCTCCTTATCCATATGAGGATCCAGTGTAATTTTATTATGATGATCTTTTAGGGTGAAGGTTTGGAATAACTTAGACTTATAGAGTTGCCCCTGCCCCATGTTTTACTAGAAAAATGTTCAAACATATGGGAAGAGTTGAAAGACTTTTGTAGGGAGTACCTCCAAACTCACCATGTAGACTCTACTATTAATATTTTACATTACTTGCTTTACCACACAGTCTGTGTAACTATCCCACTATTTGTGTATCTATCCATCTTATTTTTTGATGCATTCTAAGCTAGTTGTAGACTTTAGTACATTTCCCAGAATCATGAAGGTTTTAGGCTTAAGAGTGATTTTTTTTTTTAAGATTTTATTTATTTATTTGTTAGAGAGAGAGTAGAGAGAGCACAAACAGGTGGAGGGGCAGAGGGAGAGGGAGAAGCAGGCTCCCCAATGAGCAAGGAGCCTGATGTGGAACTCAGTCCCAGGACCCTGGGATCATGACCTGAGCCGAAGGCAGACGCTTAACCATCTGAGCCACCCAGGAGTCCCTTAAGAGTGATTTTCAAACTTAAGAAAAGATGTAAAACTGACATCTTACATTGCTAACACACGAAAGGGCTGTAGGTGGTGCTGCCTTGGTGGAAAGCAGAATGAGATCCAGAGTTTCTTTTGTGGCCTCTTCCCCATCTTCCCCTTTATTAAGGGTTCCTCAGCATGGTTTGAAATATAGCACTCCTAAAAAAAAAAAGAAAGGGAGGAGGGAGGGAGGGAGGAAGGAAGGAAGACAGTACTCCTACCTTCATTACCATTTGAGGAAACGACCCAGACGTGTCACATGACTTGCCCAAGGTTGCAGAGTAAGTTATGGCTGAACTAGGAGTCCAGTCCAAGTCTCCTGATGTTGATTGCCATGATTCTTCAAGATTGTAGCCGCCCAGAGCTGTAGAATCACAGGATCTGAGCATTAGAACTAATCATAAAGTTATTTGTTCTGTCATTCCTCCTTCCTTTAATTATGAGGAAGCCACCTGCTCTTCTTTTGTGGCAGTCTAAGCCTACTTATTTTGGGGATAGATCTTGACATAAAAGAGAAGGGAACTGTGCTGTTAAAATAGATATCTGATGTGGGATCAGTGACTTGGATGATTCATAAAAATCATACTATGACTTCATGGTCTAGTGAAAATCATGATTTAAAATAATTGTGATATTTTATAATATGTGTAAGTGTGGATATTGTAATGGGCTCCATCTGCTAATTTGAATTTGCTGATTTAAAATTTTTTTGAAATAAAAAGTAGATTTAAAAACATTTTTTAATGCTCTCTTTTCAAAATTTTGTTTAAATTCTACTTAGTTAACATACAAGAGTAGATTTGTAAAGATTCACAGTTAATTGCCTATAATTGTGGCATTACACAAAGTAAAATTTACTGCTTCAGCCTGGAAATGAATTAAAAAGGGAGGGTTTTTTTGCACTTACAGTTGTTATTATTTCTGATCATACAGGATATACTTTTTAGGAAGTGCGTGGTATCACCAGTTATCACAAGTGTTTTCTTTTTTTAATCTCCTAAAAACTCAGTGAAACAGAGGAGGAACTGGCACAGGCATGACTACACAGAGGTTGATGACGGTTCCAAACCGGTGCAGGCGGGGACGAGGACTTTCGTGAAGGAATTACGTTCTCGAGTCTTCCCAAGGTATGGAAACTTGTTCTCACCAAAGAAAATTTGAGACTGTTACCTAATAAAGTGGCATCATCTAAAGCAGTGTTTTCAAACTCCAGGTTGCCACCCATTCTCAGCTTTTTACTCTTGTTTTTTTCATGAAATAGAAACCAGTGGCGCATTGTAGGTAATAGGAGTAAATAAGCACAGTTTCATGGACCTGTCGTGTTATACATATGTGTACGGGGGCACCTTGTAAAAGTACATTAACTGTGGATCTCCATCCAGAAAATTGGAAATATGCCCACCTAGGGCAGTCGTCTCCAGGACTGGGCTCCCCGAGACGTGCAACAGCTGCTTGTCTTCCCCTTTTACCTCACCTGTTCGGATTTTCAAACTCTGTTTTTTTCTTGTGTTGTTTTCATCTCTCTCTCTCCACCCTGGGTCTGTCAGAGGTACCCATACCCATTGCTCAGCCTCTCTGGTGGCAGCAGGACTGGGCTTTTTGATTTTTAAAAGATAATGGGAAGTGTTTGACTTCTCTGTGGCTCAGAGAGAGTCAAAAGTACTACACAGCATTTAATCATGCTAATTTAGATCATTTCCTGCTCGCTGCCTGACATCTATTTAAAGTGATAATGCTTAATAGCCTTTTACACAAGATCATATCCAGGCTTGTTAAAGAGGGGAAGCACAATTTAAATTTAAATCTCAACATCACGTGCAGCCTATTAAGGAATTATTTCAGATCCTGTAACTATAAAACCCTTGCTGTTTCTTCACAGTCTAACATTCCTGTCTATCCCTCTCCCCCTTAATCCTTAAACAGAAACATATAATTGATACGCACATAGTGTTGTCTCCCTCAGGTCTGCTGAGCTTTCCACAGTGGTTTCCACACGACTTCTGTGATATTAAAGGTCTTTGTCTCAAATATTCTCTTTTATCAGTTTCAAAGTGGTTGGAAGAATGTTTGTTTTCCTGGATTGGTTTGGAGCCTAGGGCCAGAGTTTTCAGCCTGGGTCTATGAACTGGCTTCAGAGAGGCTTGTGAGTTTCTTAAACCTGTATAAAGTGTTTAGTGTCAATATGTGAATATGCATTTTTCAGGAAGAGGAGCCGTGGCTTTTATTTTTTTCAAATAGGCTTGTGACCTGAAAGAACAGTGTTAAAAACGCTGGCCTGGTGCTGCCTGTGGCCTCTGTACCAAAGTAATAACCGAGGAGAGCAGGTTATAGGGATGGTCACAAATGTCTAAACTCTAATTACCGTTAATCTAAGGTTTTTGGTTTTATTTTGTTTAACTCCATAAACCTTCACATCATTTAAAACCATATATAGAGTGACAGTAATTAATTAAATTACACATAGTGATGTGATTAACACAGAAGTGTATAAAATAAAGTGAACGGGTTATCTCACCTCCTCCCCCTCATTTTAAACTTAGGGTGAGCCTTTTGAGACATTTTTCTACATAAATGATTACATTTAAAGTATTTATGTATATAAATGTGTAGATGTGTGTGTGTGTATGTATATATGCATCTAATTAAACAAAAAATAAATGGGGTTATGTTATGCATATGATGTGCAACTTGCTTTTTTTATTCTATTTCATCAGTATCTTTCCCTGTGTATACAAAAATTTACCTCCCTCCTTAACTGCTGTGTAGTATGCAGTTGTGTATATTCACCATGTTTTACTTAACCATCCCTCTATGGTGTATGTTTAGTTTGTCTCCAATTTTTTTCTCTTGCAAATAATGATGTACCTATATTTTTAAGCAGTTGTATTTATATATTTTTGATCGACAGGGTAAGTAAAACACCACAAACATTAAAGATCAAGAAGTACAAGTGATTTGAAATTCTCCCTCAGATTGGAGTTGAGGGAATTGTTTGATTCTCAGAGTTTGGGGAAAGAGGACAACTGGGAGATGCTTATGGGGAAACTAAAAGGCAGTACAGAACTCAATGAGTCAGATGAAGGAGATCTAAACCCTTCAAATATAAGACTATCCAGAAAAAGTCTGTCTCATTTTGGGGAGCTTCAAACTGACCTTTTCTTATTGAGAGGGTGGACAGATCAGAACCCAATAATTCAGAGAACCAGTATCTCTTGTCTTCTTGATGCCAAGGCTGCAGGTGACAGCAAGACAGTTAAGGTCTGATTGTGTAAATGGCAACTGTTGTGTTTTAACCTGTAAAGCAAGTGTTGTTCTTTTTTGGAGGAATAACAGCTGCATTCTGAGCAATTGGGAGATAAAATCTAGAACATCCCCATTTAAAGGGATCTTTGGTTTATGGTTAGAGGACAATGGAAAGGGACAAACCGCACTTAAGTGGGATGCTTATGACGTGTTACTCATGAGAGTGGGCAGCTGGGGTTGAGAATCCCTTTTTAAAAAGTGGCTTAAGGCGACCACTTGCTGAAACTTACGAAATACTGGTTGTAACAGATAAATTGGGAGTTCATTTTCGACATTTGTCTCAGTGGACGGGGACCATGGGAGCTAGCCATCCTCTGTTGTGCAAGACAACAGTGAATTGTTCTGTGTCCATGAGACTTTGAAATGTCTAACAAATATTTGTGTAGAATTTTATAGCCAGATAGAATCTTCTCTGTTTTACTTATCCTGACACCAGGTTTTATTCTAACGTGCCCCCTTACCTTTTGCTCTTCTGATTTCCTGCACAGCTTGTATTTAGTGGCTTCTGATCTAGTTACTTCTCTTAAATTCAGTCACTCATTACAACAAGTTGTAATCATTCTATTATTATATTATCTCTTCTAGTGTAGTTATCTAAACATTTACATATTGAAATATATATTTTGCTATAAACTAATTTTTTCTCTTGTTTTGGTGAAGGCATTTAATATAATACATATATATTTTTCCAATTGTATGTATTGAAGTAATTATCTATGACTTTTACTTTAGGATAGTAAAAGGGACTTGATAAAACATTTGTTCTAGAAAGGAGAATCAGGTATGATAGGTTGAGAACTGCTGATATAGACAGTAATATAGTATATGAGTTAACCCATTACCAGACTGTTTTTCTTAAAGTGAACTTTCCAACAAAGATGACGTTTTACTCTTATGTTTTCCTTAGTGCCGATGAAATCATTGTAAAGATGCATGGCAGCCAGCTGACACAAAGATACCTGGAGAAACATGGATTTGAAGTTCCTATTATGGTCCCCAAATTAGATGATCTAGGACTCAGGCTCCCTCCACCTGCTTTTTCTGTCATGGATGTGGAACGCTATGTAGGTACGCACTTGATTGCTTTAAGTACTTGGGAAAATGGCGGTAAAAGTAGTAGTAGTATTGTTCTAATTACATTAGAAGTTGAGTGAGGAGATGTTAGTTTAGTTTCATGGGTCAGGGAAAGTGAAATTCAGTATCACCTAGGTCGAAAACTGTTTCTTCTGAGCAGACCTACAATTGTCAGAAAAAGAGAATGAAACACCTGATCTGTTCTTATTTATTCAACCTCATCCTGCCACTTTTTTGGTTATCATCAAATTTTCTGGTACTTGCTTAGGAGAAATAGTTGCAGTTGTAGTTGCTGAGGCGTAACTACAGATACCAGGAGGAAGACACTGGGAAATTGGACTGGTTCTAGGACTCTGTAGCATTCAGGAGCAGGATCATTGACCTCTGGTACCTAGAGAAAAGCTGGAAAAAAGAGGAGACCATGTTCAAGCCGTTTCTATATTCATGACTTGTTGATATTGCCACTTCATGGTGTCTGGACTCAGTGTGTGATTTTGAGGCCCAGAAAGGTATAAGAAACAAGGGGGAAAACCATTTCTCTGTTGCAGTCTTCTTGACATTTTCAGTCATTTTGTTCGTTCTCATCATGGTATCTATAGTTAAAACTGACTATATGTAGATCTCATTCCATGTCAGCTATAGATAGAGATTTTTTTTGAGGATTAGATCTCAAATCGACCTTGACTCCGAACTGTACATTTACTGCAGTGCATTATCTCCTAAGTATAAAATGTCTGAGAACTTGTCCCTTTATTGAGCCATTGGGTGACAGTTTTCATTGATAACTGCTTTGCTGAGGAAACCCAGTTTAATGTCATGACTTCACATTCAGCTAATTCTGAATTATTTGATAAACTAGGGGATGAGGCTGAGGTTTAACCTGAGCCTGTTTGCATAAGTAGCACTGTAAAATAAGTGGCTAGTGTAATATAAGTTTAGGAAAAAATAGTCCAACGCCTAGATAGTTTACTTTTTAGCACTGCAAAATGCTTCGGTTAACAGAACTGTTTTGCCTTTTAAGTATAAAATAAAGTCTACTAGGCAGTGCATTAATATAACGTTACACTATAGTAAGAAAATGGCATTTATTTGATTTCTCTCTCAGGTTGATTAAATATTGCCATATTTTGAATTCCATTTGTCTGTCCTGTAGGACATTGCAAAACTGGGTATGCTTTCTAGGGTGACAGTACAGTGATGTGCGAGAGATGCCTGCTGGTTTTCTAGGAAAATTCTAAATCCCAATTGAGAACTCGTTTCACATGCATTAATATGAACTGATTTTTGCTTCCTAACCACTGATTTTTTTTCTTGAAGCAGAGTATTAGAAGACACTACCTGGCAAGCAGAAATTGTCATGGTTACATTGTTCACTAATTCCACAGTGACTGACTGGTTTTTCTAAATGATAGAATCTTAGGTGTTATAGAAGTGAAAGGACGAAGTCAGTCCCCTCATTTTATGCATGAGGACGTGGAAACTCAGAGCACGTGGCACAGTTCCCACATACCAATATAATGCATTTTTGTCAGTGTGAGCTGCACTGAAATCAGTAGTGTGTAGAAAACTTCGTAAACATTTAAGTTTTCTCGTGTTAATCAGTGACTCTGTCTTAATTGCTTTATTATTTCCCTGAAAAGTGGCCCCCTTTTCCAAAAGTTCCAGTTGGACTTAAAAAGTAAGGATACAGGCAGAATCTTTGTCTAGGCTACGTAGTTTTATGGTTGGCTTTAAGTAAATACAGTTTTTAAAATATTTTTGTTTAAGGCATCTATTGATGTAACTCTTAAGCCTGATAATAAGACTATAATTTTTCTCTGCAGGTGGTGACAAAGTGATAGATGTCATTGATGTGGCAAGGCAGGCAGACAGCAAGATGACCCTTCACAATTATGTTAAATACTTCACGAATCCTAACAGACCAAAAGTGTTAAATGTGATCAGCCTTGAATTTTCAGATACAAAGTGAGTAGTTCTGGACATTTTGGTTTAGTCTTCTCAGTGTTAGCTAAATGTAGTTAAATGATAAATTTATTTTAGTAAGAAACCTAATTATGACTTCTAAAGTGGTCCGGTAATAGCACTGTTGTACACTTTGCTTTGGCACGCACTGAGAATATTTAGAAATATGATGAATTTTAAACTTTTAAGTATTGTTGTTAACCTGGAGTTCCATTTAATTTCTTGGTTTGGGTTGAGATGGGAGATGAAACTTTAAGAACTTTTAATTTGCATGATGTGGGTATGTGTGTATATGTGTGTTTGTTTTTTTAAAGGATGTCTGAATTGGTGGAGGTCCCTGATATAGCCAGAAAACTTTCCTGGGTGGAAAATTATTGGCCAGATGATTCAGTTTTTCCCAAGCCATTTGTTCAGAAATATTGCTTAATGGGAGTTCAAGACAGCTACACAGATTTCCACATTGACTTTGGTGGAACTTCAGTTTGGTACCATGTCCTCTGGGTAAGATTGGGGTATTTCTTTGTTCTCTCATTGACGGAAACATTTAGTCCTATTTTTCCAGGAATGCATTTATTTGCTGTAAATGACATCTATAAAGAGGAAAGTTTTTGTACTTTTTAAGTAGGATCCAGCATTTTACCTTTAAGCATTATGTTTTTGTTTTTGTTTTTTTAAATCTCAAGTAATGGAGGGGCCACCATGAGTTTTTAATTTATATTTAGTTTCCTTTTTTTGTCCCCATCTTATAAATTGGTCTCTTGTAGCCTTTTGTCTCTTTGTTTCCTCTTTGCCCTAGTCAATTTTCCATTAATCCCTGAATCAAATACTGGATTACAGCAAAATTACAGTAATATTTGCTTCTGATTTTCAGGGTAGGCCAGGACAGCTAGTTGAATAAGTCAGAAATGCCCATGAAACTACTAATTCTTCTTGGCAGCTTATATTGACCTTGCTTTATCTAGAACTGCACTATTCAGTACAGTAGCCACTGGCCACATGTGGCTAAATTTAAATAATTATAATTAAATATAATTTAAAATTCAGTTCCTTATTTGCACTAGTCACATTTCAAGTGCTCAGTAGCCACATGTGGCTTATGACTGGCGCATTGTATAGCACAGATATAAAGCATTCCCATCATCACACAAAGTTCTATGGACAGTGCTGGTCTAGGACCAGACCTTGGTCCATATACAATGCCTGTGTTTCAGCAGTGCTCTGGACTGTATTCGATGCTGTGTCCTTGAGCTCCCATTCTTCTTCTCTACGAGAAGGCAAAGGGTTAGTTGATTAAAGGAAGTTTATTTACAGGTCTTTAAAAAAAATAATCATATTATAGATCTTAGGGGCAAGGGCAAAGTTTGCAGAGATGACTGTGTGACCTGGGCCTATTAACATGTATTTACTTCCCTACCGTGAAAATGAGATCAGTAAGATGTCTGTGATGCTTACCCTCCTCTCTTGTAACTGTTTCTCCAATGCTACTTTATTGACTCCTGGTCATATTTTGGAGGGGGAGCTTTATTTAGCTTTTGTGAAGATGCTTATTAAGGGCGATAGTTATTGATCAGCTTGTGAAAGATGTCCTCTTGAGCCTAAAAAATCTGATAATTATCTAATTTAATTTAGATCATTATATTGGAATATTGATCCGTGTAGGCCATCCTAAGAGTGGCATTTTTTTTTTTTCAAAAATAGTGTGATTACTTCCTTCTAGGGTGAGAAGATTTTCTATTTGATAAAGCCAACAGATGAAAACTTGGCACTTTATGAGTCTTGGAGTTCATCTGTGACCCAGAGTGAGGTGTTCTTTGGAGATAAGGTGGATAAATGCTACAAATGTGTGGTAAAGCAGGGACATACTTTATTTGTTCCTACAGGTAAGGCTTTCCTCCCATCCCCTCTCCCCATAGTTGATGCTCAGTCACATGGAGTCGGCTTTTTATTAGAACCTCTGGCTTTAACATGGTTGGAAAAGAGCTTTGCATAGCCTGAGAGAGAATTCTGATCTTGGACTTTTCATTGCTTTGACCCTCAGAGGGCTTCTCTTGTAGTTAGGATCTGTTTTGGAATTGTGTTTTATGTCATTTGCCTTCATTTTAATTTTTATTCAGATAAAATTCATATGCCATAATATTTATCCTTTCAAAGTGTACAAGTTAGTGTTTTTTGGTGGATTAACAAAGTTGTGCACCCATAGCACTTGCAGAACGTTTCATCACCTCAAAAAGAAACCCCTACCAGTTAGTAGGCATTCCCCATTCCCCCTCCCCTGTGCCCCGGGCAGCCACTAACTGTACTTTTCTGTCTCTGTGGATTTGCCTATTCTGGATATTTCATGTATAATATGTGGAATACGTGGTCTTTTGTATCTAGCTTCTTTTCGTTAGCTTAATGTTTACTAGGCTCATCCATGTGGTATCACATGTCAGCGCTTCCTTACTTTTTATGGCCAAATGATATTCCACTATATGGATAAACCACATTTTGTTTATCCATTCATCAGTTGATGAACATTGGGTTGTTTCCACTTTTTGGCTATTACGAATAGTGATGCTTTGAACATTTGTGTAGAAGTTTTTGTGTGGAGGTATGGTTTTCATTTCTCTTGGTTATATATATATACCTAGTAATGAAACTGTGGGGCCATAGAGTTTATGATGTTTAACTTTTTGAGGAACTGCTAAACTCTTTTCCATGTGGTTGCACCACTTTACATTCCCACCAGCTCCAATTTCTCCACGTCTGTACACATGTTCCAGTTTCTCCACGTCTTTACCAACACTGTAATTATCTTTTTTATTTTGACCGTTCCAGTAGATGTGAAGTAATGGTATCTTATTGTGGTTTTGATTTGCATTTCCTTAATGAGTAATGATGCTGAACTTTTTTCTTGTGCTTATTGGCTATTTGTATATCTATCTTTGGAGAACTGTCTATTCAAATTCTTTGCCCATTTTTAATTGGGTTATTTGTCTTTTTATTGTTGAGCTGTAAGTGTTCTTGATATATTCTGTATACTAGATATATGATCTAGATATGTCCAGATATATGATTTGCAAGTAACTCTCCTGTTCTGGGGCTTATGATTTCATTTTCTTTATACGTTCTTTGTAATGTCCTTTGCACAAAATTTTAAAATTTTGATGACATGCTTTCAATTTTAACGGGTCAGCTCTCCATTGCTATCAAAGGCCAACCCTGCTGTAAGAATCTGGGCTGCTGTCCTGGGACACTGGAGGCAGTGGGTATATTTTGAGGGACCCTGGGAAGGGACTGAATACCAGCCTTAGCTATAGTCTCAAGTATAGGTATCAGGAGTGTCACTTTGAGATGTGACTGAATGCAGGCTGTGGACTCTCCCAGCCACTGGTTTTGAGAATTATGGTTTTCCGATGTGGGTGACCTTACTTGCCGGAGTTCACAGGGATCTGTTGCCACAGGCCTTGCTTTCTTGCCTTGCCTCTGGTGTATGTAATAATAAATAGGTATTGAATAAATGAATGAATACATGCCAGACTTTATAAAATCTAGATAAGTATCAATATTTTTATTGTGCATGAGCTCAGCTCCTCCCTTAATTCCTCTTCCCAGGGCTCCCTTTTGCAACAAATATTTTGTTATGCTCTCTTCAAAATCTTGAATTCAAATTCATTCATGCTATAACCTCCTATACCAATTATGTCCCCCCAAATTGATGTAATGATCTAACTGGAATAGAAAGAAGAAACCAAAAAGCAATTTATAATAAAATACTATTTCAAAATGTGCCTGCTCATACAGGTGTATGATTGGCAACTCAAATTCTATAGCATTGGTGTAGATTAGTGGTTCTCAAATGTCACTGAGCATTAGAATCATCTGGAGGGCTTATTAAAGCATGAATTGCTGGGCCTCATCCCCAGCGGTTCTGATTCAGTAGATCTGGGGGGCAGGGGGGCGGGAGGGCCGTGTTGAGAATTGCATTTCTAAAGGTTCCCAATTGTTGGCTGTTGCTGCCAGTCTGGGGCCGCACTTAGACAACCACTGCCCTAGGGACTGTTGCTTTTTCCCAGGGTAGCTGGCAACTGATAAATTTCCAGACAGACTATAGTTTCCTTCAACTTACAGAGTAGTTGTATTCCTGGAAAATTGTGCCAAAACTGTGCAAAAAATACTTGGCTTACTTATATAATGGACTTACAGTTTCTAGACTTAGACCATTAATGGCAGATTTTGTACCTATATGAATGCCCAGCAGAGAGTCCTGAGTAATGCACGACTGTTGCTTACTATATGGAGTGGCCTGCTTGTTGCATCCCTGGCTCTCGCTCATGTAATATCACTGATGCCTCTTGATCATTGAGACAATCAAAAAAAATCCTCAAACGTTCCTTAACATCCTTTACAGGCAGTGCTGCCTCTGTTGAGAACCACTGATCGGTAGGATTTGTAGCTGACAAAAATTTTTCATTTGTGATTTCAGGGTGAAGCTCAAGGCTTTGTGCCTTTGAGCACACAAATGGCACCACTTGAAAGTGAGTCTTTAACGGAATTTTTTCCGTGTCATAGCATAGTGAGGGATCAAAAAATGAAAAATATAAAGAAAATGGGATCTATTTTAATAGCTAATTTTTACTCGCAAACATACTTGTACATATTTATTTTTATATGAAGGCTTTATGTTCAGTCCATGGATTTTGTTTTCAAAAGTTAGGCATCATCTTTTAGAAATGATTCTTACTTTGAAAACATATTTATGGGAAAATAAGACATCATTTTAATTGCCAACATTTGTATCTTAGGACCCATAGCCCTCCACAGCGAAATGTGGGTGATCTCCCTTTTTCTTCTTAGTGCCAGGTCTCCAGTTGAATTCCACTCCTGCTCCTTGCTTAGTCCCTCAGAGCACTGCTCATTTCTGGATGACACTAAAGAAGTGAAGTGCACAGCCAGTCCCATGTTCATTTAATGGAAATGTGCTCACTTTATTCTTTACCGTATTTGACTCCTCTTAGAGTAACATTTTGAATGTGAAATTGGATTGTGTTTTTAAACTAAAAAACTAAAACAGCAGCAACCACAAAAACCATCACCTATCCTGTACCATGATTTTGTCTGATTGGATCAATGCATTTGTTTTCTGAAACTCAGCACAGAGTCTGGCATATAATCGGTATTTAATAAATACTTGAACGAATGTGTCTCTAGATTATAATAGGCATTAACTTCTCCAGCTCTGGTGGAGTATGAAGTAAACTGGTGTTGGTATTTTGAGTTTCTCATTTCACAGGTAGAGATCACATTTGTTTGGTTTAACTATTGGAAACTCACTGATGTATATTTTAACTGTTCCAGGGTGGATTCATGCTGTGCTCACATCTCAGGACTGTATGGCTTTTGGGGGGAACTTTCTGCATAACCTTAACATTGGCATGCAGCTCAGGTTTGTGTCATAGGGATCTAAAAGATCTTTTGTTTTTTCTTAAATAAGATATTATTTTTAAAGTTTCAAACAAATAAATTCAGTAATATATTTTAATTGCAATCTCAGAGGTAGGCCTTGAGGAATTATTAGGAATAGGACCTTTAAACCAAATGTATTACCATAAGATTTTGTTAGAAAGACTCCTTGATGCATTTCAAGTCTAAAAACAAAAAGAGTCATTTATTCAGTTTGACACTAAATATATCCCTGAATTTCAAAATTTTATAAAAATGTGTGGGCTCTATCCTTTGGCTGTTTTTACAGTTAGGGAAAGGAACCAAATCCAGTCAGACTCGGTGCTGATGGAAAGTAATCCGAATTTAGGATTGCTGCTTTAGTTTTGCTGTGGGTAAAGGATTAACAGCTATTTTCCCTTATGTCTGAGATTGACCTTTGGGTAACTCTGTTCCCCCGGTAGCCTAAAGAGAGTAGAATGTTACCAGGCTACACTGTTTAAGGTAAGATGACTTCTGACTGATTAACTGCCTCAGGACTGGGAGAACTAGAGAATCCATATGTTTGGGCTTTCCTGAGTGTGGTGACTCTTGTAACTTGGCAAGCCCCGAGGGAACCCTGGAAGCTATGTGTCTGTAGAGATATTTCGAGAAATAGTGTCATGAAGCTCGAAGCCAGGGCACCTCCCACACCGTCAAATGTGAATCTTGCTTCTTTACCTGGAGTGTCCCTGGGGGAAAGAGGACTACTGGCTGTAGGGATTGCTGCCAGGACTCCCATAGAAGAATAACACTGTGGCAGGCTGTGGATCCTGTCTTCTCACCTCCACCAGCGCCAAGTGTGTCCTTGAGCTTGAATGCTTAGTAGAGCCTAAAGAAGACTCCCGGAGTGGGTGTTGTGGTGCTAACACAGGGAGCTGTTTTCTACACGTACTGTTTTATTTGTTATGGTGGAACCCTTGTGAAATTCCTTCTGCTAAGACGACGATGCATATCCCAAGGTTCTGATCTTTGGGAAGACCAGTGTAAATCTTCAGTATGCTGTCAGATTTGTTAAGGTCAGACCCGGATAAGATCACAGTTCATTCTTATTCAAATGTGTGCTCGTTTTATTTTCCTTAAGTTGGTTGCCTCCATTTAACTTGGAAATGCTAATATTAATACTAAATTTCTTCAAATTTCTCTAGGTGTTATGAGATGGAAAAAAGGCTAAAAACACCAGATCTTTTCAAATTCCCTTTCTTTGAAGCCATATGTTGGTTTGTAGCCAAAAATTTGCTGGAAACCTTGAAAGGTAATTAATAATCTATACATTATGATGCCTGATGTTTGTAAATTCGTGAAAAGCCACTGATAGAAAGAGGGGCTCCTTTATTATTATTATGGTGTAGCTATTGCTCCTGTTTTGTTTTTTAAAACATGCATGATTTCCCCTGTCAGGAGCCTTTTAACACATCAGACTCTCTAGTCCGTAGCCTTAAAAATCAGATCTATGAAGAGCTGCATCAGAACAGCACAGGTAATACTGAAAAATGTTCATTTCACCCTGGACTCTAGCAGCCTGCACACACTGTCAGACATGTAAACGTGCCTCCCTCACAAGTGCAGTTCAAGCTACAGGACTGTTTCTGTCATGTGTGTTCCCAAACATTTGCTTTAAAAAATCGAGGGAAGGGGCGCCTGGGTGGCTCCATCGTTAAGCTTCTGCCTTCGGCTCAGGTCGTGATCCCGGGGTCCTGGGATCGAGCCCCGCGTCGGGCTCCCTGCTCGGCGGGAAGCCTGCTCTCCCTCTCCCACTCCCCCTGCTTGTGTTCCGCTCTTGCTGTGTCTCTCTCTGTCAGATAAATAAAATCTTAAAAAAAAAAAATCGAGGGACTTTTTCATGTCCTGAGAGAAGCAGGGAGTGCTTGTGCCATTACCATTACGACTATGATGCTGGCTGGTCCAAGACACCTGTTAGCACAAACCAGCTGAAGGTCAGGCTATGAGTCTGTTGAAGAAAATGGTTTTGGGAGGGGACATTTATTTAAACTTAGCTACCTTTTTTATGTGGAATTTCAGATTTTGGTGTTTTATCTTTGGTTTCAAAATTGGAGACTGATTGTCATGTCTACTTCTATTTGTTCTTTTGCTTGTGCCCACGAGAACACAGTTTGTCTGGTTTTTGTGTTGTTTGACTTTTCTAATCAGTTTGCAAATAGTGCTACTATTATAACAGATTAAACAGTAAAGTCTGTTCTAAACATATGGGTTTTTTAAATTTCCATTTAAAAGTTGCACAGGAAGAAAAGGTAAAATGAAAAGAAACAATAACTTACTTCCCAGGGTAGCATGCACAGAATTAAATGATAAAATCACTTATGATTTTCTCCGCAAACAACAAAACCAAAAAACAGCCTCGTTCTCTTTGGAAGGAACAGTAGGGCCCCATCCCACACCATGCAGCAGTATAGAGATCAATGTCTTGACGTGGTGCAGGTATATATGTATGATGGAAGAAGGAGCCCATGGATGAAGAAGATTGGCTTCTTTCTTTTTTTTTTTTTTTTAAAGATTTTATTTATTTATTTGAGAGAGAGAATGAGAGAGAGAGAGCACATGAGAGGGGGGAGGGTCAGAGGGAGAAGCAGACTCCCTGCCGAGCAGGGAGCCCGATGCGGGACTCGATCCCCGGACTCCAAGATCATGACCTGAGCTGAAAGCAGTCGCTTAACCGACTGAGCCACCCAGGTGCCCGAGGATTGGCTTCTTTCTGCACAAGACCAGTCTCTCTCCAAAAATGCATCCTTATCCTGAGTCCCTGACTTACTCAATGTTTTCAGGTATTGGTGAGGCTGAGGCAGCTCATCTTCAGTGAGTGTGTCTTGGTGTCTTGGCTGCAGGAATCTCACAGGGGACCACACATAGAGTTGCCGTATGTAGCTTCTAGTAGAGTGATGGGCAGTAAAGTCTCCTATCCAAGTAGAAGCCTAGAAAAATAGGAACACTTACAAATACTTACAAAAAATTTGTAAATGTCCTTGTGTTTTGGAAATACAACCCGGTTACTGAACCCTCCAGATAAGAGATTGGCAGTTCAGTACGCAGAAGGTTCAGTGTCTTTTTCCATCTTTTCTCTCCTCACTAACATACGCCCACACTTCAAGTGATGCTTTTTCCTAATGTCCAAGAGGGGGTTCATCAGTCAGCTTTTTAGAACAAAGTTAAGGATTTATCTGAAAGGTGAAATCTTGCTGTTCCTCTTGCAGCCGCAAACTGCAAGTTGCTTGGTCTTAGAATGATTTAGCCTTTGTTTTAGGCCATTGAGAGTTCAGAAGTGTTGAGGTCTGACTGGATAGATGACCCTGTACATTAACGACTTAAAAGAGACTACTGTAAAAGGATACTGGTAGGTCAGGTTTTAGCACATTTTTATTTCATCAGCTGGATCAGTACAGGTTAGGATACCTGGCAGTACTTGGGGTCAATCCAGTCCCACTAAGGCTGGGGTGAAATGACCATTGTACCAATTGCCGTCCTCCTAGGCATTCATCCTGGAAGCAGGGATGGTGGTCCTGTCGTGCCACATTATGTTCTTCCATCCCTGATCTTTTAACTTGCCACTGTGGCCTGTTATTTACCAGCTGTCAGACTGTTACTAGGCTTATATGATGGGTTAAATGAGGAGAGATTGTATGAAACTTAACTGTGTTTAGTGTAATAATAAAACTGGACTAATTCTGGACTTATGTGAGTAAATTAGCCATTGGACAGAAGTGAAACCTTTTGCTTTTGCTTCAACTTACCCGAATTTTATTAGACTTTTTTTTTTTTTTAAAGATTTTATTTATTTATTTGACAGAGAGAATGAGATAGAGAGAGAGAGCATGAGAGAGGGGAGGGTCAGAGGGAGAGGCAGACTCCCTGCCGAGCAGGGAGCCCGATGCGGGACTCGATCCCGGGACTCCAGGATCATGACTTGAGCCGAAGGCAGTTGCTTAACCAACTGAGCCACCCAGGCACCCGACTTACCCGAATTTTAGACCGTATCTGATATATTTTGTGTGAGTTTCAGATAATGTTAAAGACCTGGGAAAGGTGCGTGTGTGTGTGTGTGTGTGTGGTGTGTTTACCTTCACGTTCGTGAACTGTGTCATGCCCGTGGCTGACTGTATAGCCCGCACACTGCATACGTACACACGGTTCTGACAGTTCAAATACTAATTATAAGGCTCACCTGGGTCACTTGTACCACTGGCTCAGCCTCGCCAGTACCTTTGAAACATCCAGTCATTTTTCCCCATTGCACCCCCCTCCCTCCCTTCTGAAGAGAACCCCTATCCTGACTTCTGTGGCGATCCTTTTCTTCAGTTTCATCACCTGTGTCACAAACGATACAGTAGTTTAATGGCTTCCATTTTTAGAGTTCACGTGAATAGATCCAGGCCGACGTTGTTGCGTGACTTGTCTCTTACTCAGCACCGTTTGTGAGCTTCCATTTACTTGGAGCATTCGGTACCACCACGTTTAATGTCATTCCGTTTCTTTTTCTTTCTTGCTTTTTCTTTCACCTTTTTCCCTCTCTGGGAATTCAGAAGTTACACAGTTTGATAGTTGGTGATTGCTCAGCATCTGGAGCTGACCCTGTTACCTTCGGAGCACTTTAACTCCTTTCCCCACCCACTTCCATCCCCACAGAACTGAGAGAAGATGGTTTCCAGCCTCAGACTTACCTAGTACAGGGAGTGAAAGCACTGCATGCTGCTTTAAAGTTATGGATGAAGAAAGAAGTAAGTCGTTTTCTTTGGAGAAGTAATTGTTATTGTTTCTATGGCAAGATCGAAAACAAGAGTCCTTATGCTGCTTTGGCAGCACGTGAGTGGTGGCAGTCGAGGGAATGGAAATCACTCTTTTGGTACAACCTCCATTTTATTGTATAGTGTATACAAATGTGCTGGTTTATATTTATGAGAATAAAGTACCTAAGTATTTCTTTAATCTGGAAAAGAAAGTAATTCAGATGTATTTAGGATATTGACTAAGAAATGAACATGTAGTTATAGGATAATAATAAATAACTTGGAGCTCGCATCTGCTCTCGTTATCCCCATTTTACATATGGAGAAGCTGAGGTTCAAAGAATTTTATGTAACTTGCCCAAGATTTTGTGGTGGACCTCGGACTAAAGCTCAGTCTCTGTGACTGCAAAGCCCACATTCCTTTCCATCTGCTAGACTTTCATAAGAATGAAGGAAAAGGGAGGTCAAGTTGCAAGCAGGAGCTTTCATTTTTCACTAAAATGTGATGTTTGCATTTGAATCCTTCTGCCTCTGAGAGGTCATCCCAGATCCCCATTTGGAATCAGCATGTCCGTGTCCTTCCCTTCTGCTTATGTAGCACATTTCTTGTGCCAGTGGACTTACAGGTAATGTCTGTAAAGTAATATATTCCTATCTCCTTCACTAGGTTTATGAGCTCTTGAAAACCAGGGACTTGCTCCTCTTTATTTCCCTCCTGGAACTTTACATGCCACTCTTTAACAAGTGATAGATACGTGAGCTGATGAAAATATATTTCCATGCTAATTTTTTGAATGTCCACTTGAAATAAAAATCCTGCTCTTAGATACTGGAGACAGTTATCAATAGGTTACCCTCCCAGTAACTTTCTACTCTTTTCACTTGATTACCATTGCTCTTGTGTACGCACTAGAGCACGGCACTGTGGAAGCAGTCAGGAAAGTAGAAATCAGGTCTTTGAGGGCCAGAGAGGTCATCATGGAGATGAAGGGAGTAAGTCCATTACAGAACTGTATAACAAGGTAATAACAAAATAAAGTATGTGTTGCAAAAACCGTATAATGTGTTACCTGCTGAAGGCTTTAGATAAGTTGTTCTCAGACTTGTGTGTTTGTCAGAATCTTTTAAAAAATAAACTCCCTGGATCCTCCCTGAGAGATACTGATTTAATAGATTGGTGGTGGGATCTGAACCTCTGTTTTTAACAAACTTTGTCGGTGATTTTGATGCACAGTAAGATACATCAGTAATAAATACTGTTAATTCGTGACATTTGAAGTGCTCTTTCAAAAGCATGGTGTTTGCATTTAACTCTCTCTTCGCCTTGCGCCACCAGGAGAGGGCAGCTCAGCACAGCGCTCAAGAGCATGGACTCTGGAGTCAGATGTTTGGGTTCATATCTCAGCTGTGCTGCCAATAAACTAGCGAACCTCTGTGCTTTCGTTCCCTCAGTTGTAAAATGAGAATAATAGTAGTATCTCTGTCACAGTGTTGTTGAAAGGATTAATGAGTTAATGCTCGTAAAGTGCTTAACAGTATAGAATCTTGACTGACACAGTTAGCACTTACTGTTACTGTTGTTACTAGTCTGTTTTAACAAATTATGCTAAAGCCAAGGAGAAGATGTAAAGCAAAAGTAAAAACTAGCATATTGAATGCGTCTAAAAAATTAAAATGTTCTTAGATACAAAGGTTATTATTTAGAAATAGACATAAGAAATAATGGCAGTAGTTTGCATTTAGATAGATATGGTAACTCAGCGATTCCTCTGTCCTATTGATGGGATCTTTTTCCTAGTAAAAGAAAAAAAGCTTACAAAAATTTATTCAAAATCAGACCTCCCATAGGAAATAGGATCATTTTTTTAGTGCCTGTGTTCCCACTTATAAATCCTAATGTATTATGAATTAAATGCTGGACTTAATTAGTTACTTTACTAATTATAGTAGTAGTTAGAATCACAGTAGGCTTTAAGGGATAGAGTACAGGGTTACCTCTCAGTATAAAGCAAAATTCACTGTGAGACAGTCCATCTTTAACTCAAGCTAAGAGGATTTTGTAAGTTAATAAGGATCTCCTTAAAGAGTATTGTACCAACTACATGAACTCTGAGACCTGGCTTACTAGTATTTTGCTATGTCTATAAAATCTAGAGAATCCAAAATTTGTTTAGTAAATAGTTTTTGTCTATTACAGTGTAAATAACTTTGGTTGTCTTATCTTTGTTAATCCAAATACAGCTTGTATCTGAACATGCCTTTGAGATCCCAGACAATGTCAGACCTGGACATCTTATTAAAGAACTTTCAAAAGTAATTCGAGCAATAGAGGTAAGAGTAGAAACTGTCATCTAAATGCTTGGTTACTGTCTGCTTTGAGAAGCAAATGGATCTATCATCACATTACAAACTTCAAAAGCCCTTATACTCTTAGATGAAATAGAATGAGCTGCGTCTTGGAAGGACTCTCAGGTTTCCAGGCTTCCAAAGTCCTACAGAGAAATTTAGAGTGTTGTATCCTAATGAGGTGAGAAGGAAGCAGTTACCAGTTACTTCAGTTTCTTCAGCATACTCCAAGAATAAGAAATACAGCATACACAAAATTTCAGATCCCATTCATTTCTGCTATGCAGAGATGAATATGTGTTAAGTAATTAGAGGAAGAGAGAAAATGTAAGGTGGGGTGAGTAGAGCCAGGTGAAGCTGGTTTGGAAACTGGGATGCTATTAGTGGTGTGAGGCAAGGAGACCCCCTTGACTGAAGTATTAGAACAACTTGGTTAGGGGCGCCTGGGTGGCTCAGTTGGTTAAGCGACTGCCTTCAGCTCAGGTCATGATCCTGGAGTCCCGGGATTGAGTCCCACATTGGGCTCCCCGCTCAGCAGGGGGTCTGCTTCTCCCTCTGATCCCCTTCCCTCTCGTGCTCTCTGTCTCTCATTCTCTCTCTCTCAAATAAATAAATAAAATCTTTAAAAAAAAAAAAGAACAACTTGGTTACGTAAATGCCCCTTGATAAAAGTCCATAAAATCTGAGATTAAGTGTTTTAACTTATTAATTAGGAACTATTCTGGGTATTAAAGGAGATTTTGATTAAAGTAATTCTTCAGGAAGCTGGTTCTGTTAGTGTCTAGCTTGAACTGAAAGGAAATTAAGTGGAGGAATGGAGGCTACCTGGTAATTTAACAGCTTAGATTAGGGCTGTGTTTGGGGAATGGAAGAGGTATACATCTAAGAAATAATGAAGTGCTGCGTTTAATATCCTTGGATACAATATTTCATATAATTCTCAGGGTGTTCAGATATGGCAGAAAAATATTTTCTATTTTTAAAGAGTGGTGGTAATTGCACATAAATAGATTTTTTAATGAAAAGTCACATATATAATCTTAAATACATATGTAGATGTATAAATATATAAATCTCATATATGATAACCAAAGCTAAGAATGAATTCAGTAAGAAAGGTGTGGGTCTATTTTTTTTTTTCTTTAAAGATTTTCTTTATTTATTTGACAGAGAGAGAGATAGCGAGAGCAGGAACACAAGCAGGGGGAGTGGGAGAGGGAGAAGCTGGCTTCCTGCTGAGCAGAGAGCCTGATGTGGGACTCGATCCCAGGACCCTGGGATCATGACCTGAGCCGAAGGCAGACGCTTAACGACTGAGCCACCCAGGCGCCCAAGGGTCTATTTGAAAACTATAAATCTTTACTAAGAGAAGTGAAACAATAATTGAATAAATGTCATTTCTAAAATATGTCAGTACTAAGTTAATATCACGTATTTAAAATGCTGAGTTATACCTGCAAGAATAATTGGGCAAAAGTAGCCAACAACGTGTTTATTTTTCTTAAAAATTGGAGGGTTGCGAGTACAGAAGGCAGCAAAATGGCTGTAGAAAAGTGTGCAAAGAAAATAAACAGGTATTTCACTAAAGAAGAAATAGAAATGACAATCCAATAAAAATATGAAAAATGTTCTCAGTATGTGAAAATGTATTCAGCCACATTATGCCAAATAATTTGTGATTTCATATGATCATTTGTCTAATGGGCAGAGATAAAATTCTGTATTCTTGTCCTGCTGGTTAGGAAGTATAAATTAGTTTGTGCTTTCTAAATGGCATATCCCTTAATTGAGCATTTTCCCTTTAATAAAATAAGTAAGAGGATTCTAATTAAACTTGGTAGATTGACCATACCTGAACTAAAAGGATAGTACAAGAATAAAAAAGATATTCCTTGGGGCACCTGGGTGGCTCAGTCATTAAGTGTCTCCCTTTGGCTCAGGTCATGATCCCAGCGTCCTGGGATCGAGCCCCACATCAGGCTCCCTGCTCAGTGGGGCGTCTGCTTCCCTCTCTCCCTCTGCCCGCCATTCCCCCTGCTTGTGCTTGCTCACTCCCTCTGTATCAAATAAATAAATAAAATCTTAAAAAAAAAAAAGAATAAAAAAGATATTCCTGAAGACATAGAGAATAATAGAGATGAACTCCAGCCAGTTTTGGAAGCTGGAAAGCAAATATACAAGTGATCACTGGTTTAGCTGGCTAGAGAGCCAAAATTGTGTGGGCAGAGGGAAAAGCCCAGAGGCAAGTCTTACTTGTACAGGAGAACCTACAAAAAGCCAGGAATTAGGGATACTCGGACTCTCTGAATATGAGTGGAGGTGGGATTGAGAACAGGATTGATTATAGGTCCATTTAAGAAATGAATTGATTTCCAAATCCCTATCTTAACACATGCCGAAAACTCTGGAGGTTTAGTTGTTTGAGAGATTGAACTTGAGACTGGACTTTGGGACACTGAACCCAGCTGAGGGACATGGGTACCATACTGAAAACAAGAGGATTGAGTGACAGTCTACATAGTGAATGGTTCTTTTTCCACTTGACTCTCCAAACACTAGCACCCTGGCCTATACCTCCCAGGCCAAGAAGATCCACTGATAGTGACCATTTGAAACCTTCCGATGGAACAACCCAGGCAGCTTCCTACAATGAACCCAAGCCCTACTCACACAGAGCTCCCAGTTAGCTTTTTTCTTTTTGCATGCAGTGAAATGCACAGATCATAAAAGTACAGTTTGAGTTTTGATGAAAACTCAGTAGACACTTGTGTAATGAATACTGCCATTGAGACCTATAAATCATTTTTGTCACCCCAGAAAGTCTTTTCTCCCCCTTCTAGTCAGTCTGACTACCATAAGCTACCACCATTCAGACCTGTGTGGCTCTCATCGCAGATTAGTTTGCCTGTTTTTTAATTTCAAATAAAGGCAATCATACAGTATATCCTATTTTTGTGTCTGGCTTCTTTCAGCATAATGCTTTTGAGATTCATCCATGTTGTTGCATCTGCCAGGAGTTCTTTTTTTGTTGCTGAGTGGTATTCCACTGAATGAATAAACCGTGATTTGTTTTCCCTTCTTCTTTTGATGGATATTTGGGTCATATACAGATAGGGCTAGTATGAATAAAACTTATAAACAACCTTGTATGTCTTTTTGTGGCAAAAACATGTTTTCATGTTTCGGGGGGTAAGTACCTGGGAGTAGAGTTATCAAGTCATAAGTGAATTTCCACTTTCTAAGAATCTGCCAAACAGTTTTCCAAAATGGTTGTGTTGCTGTCACCACCAACGTGTAGGAGTTGTCATTCTATATTCTTGCTAGTGTTTGGTGTTTTCCGCCTTTTAATTTTTGCTTTTCTAGAGAGTATGAAATAGTCTTTCATTGTGGTGTTAATTTGCATTTTCCTAAAGACTAATGATGTTGAGCACCTTTTCTTGTGCATTGGCTATTTGTGTATCTTTTCTTTTTTTTTATTATGTTATGTTAATCACCATACATTACATCATTAGTTTTTGATATCTTTTCTTATGAGGTACCTCTTTGAAGTTTTTGACCATTTAAGAAATTATGTTGTCTTTTTTGACTTGTAGGAGTTCATTATATATCTTAGACACAAGTTCTTTGTCATTTGGCATGCATGCATTCATGTATGATGAATATAGTGAATATTTACAAACCACAGCCTGTGGCTTATCTTTTCATTATCTTAATGGTGTCTTTTTCCGAGCAGAAATTTTTAATTTTGAAGAAGATCAATTTGTAAATTAGTTTTCTTATTTATAGAAGATCAATTTGTAAATTAGTTTTCTTATTTATAGTTGCTTATTTATAGTTAGTTTTTTTTAGTGTCCTCTCTAAGAAATCTTTGCCCACCCCAAGGGTTGAAGATACTTTTTTTTTTCTGGAAGCCTGTTTTACAATTGGGTAAATAGCTAATCGTGAATTTTTGTGTGTAGCATAAGGTAAATTTTAAGGCATTATTTTCCTCCCATATGTTTATCTAGTTGTCTAGATAAACATACCATTTCTTTTTTTTTTTTTTTTAATTTATTTATTTGACAGAGAGAGCACAAGTAGGTAGAGTGGCAGGCAGAGGGGAAGGGAGAAGCAGGCTCTCTGCTGAGCAGGGAGCCCGATGCGGGGCTCGATCCTAGGACCCTGGGATCATGACCTGAGCCAAAGGCAGCCACTTAACCGACTGAGCCACCCAGGCGCCCCAAACATACCATTTCTTGAAATCAATTAGCTTTTATTGCTTTCTCCTTTAATATGCATGGAGTGCCAAGAAGAGTTTTGAAGACGACAACCAAAAATAAAGGAGAAAAAGAAAAAAAATGTATTTGAAGGAAATAAATAAGTTCTTTAGCCCAAAACCCAAATATTAATAATTTATATCCTTGAGAGAAAAGAGTACATAAATATTGCTTCCATGAAAAAAGAACAGATGGCTATAACAAAGGAGCATTAAAAGAAGAAAGAAAAGGGGTTCTTGGAAATTAGAAATATAATAGAAACAAAATATAGGGAAGCCTGGGTGGCTCAGTTGGTTAAGCATCTGCCTTCGGCTCAGGTCATGATCCCGGGGTCCTGGGATCGAGTCCACGTCAGGCTCCTTGTTCAGTGGGGAGGCTGCTTCTCCCTCTACCTCTGCTCCTATCTCCCCCCCCCCCAGCTTGTTCTCTCTCTCTCTGACAAATAAATAAATAAAATCTTAATTTAAAAAAAAACACCCAAGAAACTCCTTTCTGTCTTAAAAAAAATTTAGTAAACTCATTGGAAGATAAAGTTGGGAAAATCTCTCATAAAGTTAAAAAAAAAAAAAAGACTAAAATAGGACAGAAAAATTAGGAGGTCATTTTACATAGTCACCATCAAAATAATAGGAGGTCCAGATAGAACATAGAAAACAAGGAGAAGATAATTAGAGGAATAGTCAAAGATGATGTTTTAGAATTCAAGGACACATCTTCCCTACAGAATGCCCAAGTACAGTGAGTGAGAAAAGACCTATGCCAAGGCACATAGTGGTTACATTTTAGAATGCATGTAACAGAGTATATCCTGCGATCAGGGATCAAGCCGCACAGAGGGCTCCTTGCTCAGCAGGGAACCTGCTTCTCCCTCTGCCTGCCTCCCCCCCTGCTTGTGCTCTCTTGCTCTCTCTCAAATAAATAAATGAAATCTTAAAAAAAGATGCCAAAGAGGCAAGATCTCAAAAAATTTACCTCCCATGGACCCCTTCTCAGGAAATTCTTAGAGGGGGTGCTGTTCCAAAAGAGAGGAAATAAGCCAAAAAAGGAGCTCTGGAATTCTTCCAACAAATATGGAATACCCAGATGGGCAGAGAGCAGGGAAGAAAACAGAGGCTCTGCCTTCATGGAGCTGAGTAGGAAGAGACTAGCCATAAATATTTTAATGTATCAGGAATTGACAAATGCTATGAAGAAAGATACAGAAGGGGGAAAAGATGGGGAGTGACAGCCAGAGATGGTGGTGGGGGCTGCAGTTTTAAGTGGTGGAGTGCAAGCAGGGCAGGAGGGATTTTTGATGACCTGTGTAGGCCGGGAGAGCAGCCAGTCCGGGTTGGATTCAGGAGGATGAAGGGCTCCGTATTTGTTGTTTATCTGAAATTCAAATTGAACTGGGCATCTTGTACTTTAGCTGGCATTCCTGTCCAGGGGGGATGTCTCCGAAGAAAAATACAAAATTTATACATTACCTAATGTGTTTAAATGTTTGCATTCTTCCAGTGAAGAATTTTGGGATCAACTAGTGATAGATACATAGAAAACAAAGCAGCTATAGAGTGAGACAATTATAAACTCAAGGGAAAGTCAAAGATGTAAAAAAAAAAAAAAAAGGAAATGTAATAATATACTATGTGGCACTGGGTTGTAAATACTTTTTACCAAGTCCAGTTTACTGAAGGAACAGGAAGTATGTGTACATTTAGAAGTGTGCAAGGATTGAGACTTCATCTTGAGTAGTAGGAATTCAGTAACACCTACAGCTAAAAGGGGCACCTGGCTGGCTCAGTCAGTAGAGCATGTGACTCCTGACCTCAGGGTTGTGGTTTTGAGCCCCACATTGGGTATAGAGATTACTTAAAAATAAAATCTTAAAAAAAAATAAAGCCGAAAAACCAAGAAATAACAGTTTAAACATATTAGAAATTTGGAGGCAAATAACTGAACAAGTAACACTACCACCAACAAAAACAGCTGTAAGAGTTGCAGGCACCATGGCAGCCTAATTGTCCATGGCGGAGGAATGAGTGGACAAAAAGTGGCATATACATAATATACACACCATGGAATATTATTCAGCCTGCAAAAAGAAGGAAATTCTGACCCATGCTACAGCATGGATGGACCTTTAAGATATTACATTAAGTGAGGGGCGCCTGGGTGGCTCAGTCGTTAAGCGTCTGCCTTCAGCTCAGGTCATGATCCCAGGGTCCTGGGATTGAGCCCTGCATTGGGTTCCCTGCTGTGCGGGGAGTCTGCTTGTGTTCCTGCTCTCGCTATCTCTCTCTGTCAAATAAATAAAATCTTAAAAAAAAAAAAAGATAAATTAAGCAAAATAAGCCAGTCACAAAGGTACAACTATTGTATGATTCCACTTATATGAAGTTCCTAGAAGCGTCAAATTCATAAAGTAGAAGGTTGCCAGAGGCTGGTGGTAAGGAGGAATGGGAGTTACTGTGTAAGGGGCACAGAGTTTAAGTTTGGGAATATTAAGTTCTGGAGGTGGATGGTGATGTGTGGTTGCATAACAGTGTGAAATGTCCTTAAGGCTACTGAGCTGTCCACTTAAAAATGGTAAAATGGTAAGTTATGTATATATTACCTCATGTGCTACAAAATTATGTATATGTCACTACAATAAAAGGAAACTTGCAAGTGGTTGCCTCTGGAGAATGGGAATCAGGGATGGGGAAGAGTATACCACTGCTTTTCATGATATATTTATAGAGTTAATTTTTAAAACTACAGAGATTGGTGACCTTGGTTTAAAAAGCAATTACTGATTTATTCAAGTATATATATGAAAGAATGTTCATCATAGGAAAGAACTGGAAGCAGCCTATAATAACTACCAGTAAGTATTAGGTCAATAAATTATATGGTGGAATACTACCCAGCTTTTAAAATGATATTTAAAATCAAAGAAATATGTTCACAGTATATTATGTGGGGGAGAGAAGGGAATAAAGATCTCAGCAAAGCTGATGTTGAATTTTATGAGTGTTACGATTTGGTCTTTGCTATTTATATGAATGGTTTTTGTTTTTTAAAATATTTTTATGGCTGATTATTGAGTCAGGTATATGTGTGTCCTTGTCATAAAAACACTCTGAATTTAATTCTTAAAGGAGGAAAATGGCAAACCAGTTAAATCTCAGGGAATTCCTACTGTGTGTCCAGTTTCACGATCCTCAAATGAAGCAACTTCCCCATACCATTCCCGACGAAAGATGAGGAAACTTCGAGATCATAATGTCCGAACTCCTTCTAACCTAGACATCCTAGAGCTCCATACAAGGGAGGTTCTCAGAAGGTTAGAGATGTGTCCATGGGAAGAGGCAAGTATTATGTTTTATGGTTATAGAAAGAGACTTGGTTGTTCCTGAAAGTTCTTTAAAGGGATAATAAAAAGAATAGTCTGGCCATGTTTGTTTTCTAATCTTTGCTTAGCATTGTAGGGGCCAACAGTACTGATGTCCATGACCGGGAATGTGCTTCAGCTTTCTAGGCATCAGTGTAGTAGACTGAGTAGATCTCATTTTCTTTGCGGACATGTTTACTGAGTGTTTATGAAATAACCTATGGTCTTCTAGGCTCTGGGGAAGTTACCAGAGTGAAACTTAAGTCTCTGCCATTGTGTAGCTTCCAGTCCAGCTCAAGTTGGAAGAATAGGAGATGAGAGATATACTAAAATAATATAATTTCAGATAATAAGTATTCTGAAGGAAGCTGAAACAGTAGAGGGAGAGAGAGTAAAGGGGCTAGGCTGTGGCTGGCTACGTTAGCTGGGGCCGTCAGAGAGCCTCTCAGGTGGTGGCATTTGAGCTGACGAATACTGGAAGAAGTCAAGTGGATACAAAGCTTTGAGGAAACAGAGGGAAGAGCAAGTGCAGAAAGCCTATTCCTCCCCCAGCAGTACCAGCACGGGCAACTGTCGGACTGGGAGACTATTAGAATAAACCCATTTAAATTTGGGAAATGCTGGCTTAATGGACAAAGGGAAGAGGGGCGGGGCCTTTGTAAAACATGGTAGTGAGTTTGTGATGAGACATACCATCCATCATTGCACATCTTAAGTAAAGGACAGGAATAATTTAAAATGAGTAAGATAGAAGTATTTCTGAATTAAAATATTTGAAGAAATTCTATAGAAATTATAACTTAAAGATTTTGCATTTAAATAATTATATTGATATTGTTTTAAACTTTGTTGTTCTGAACCTCTTTAACCCTTAGCCCTCTGGGAGAAGACTTAGCTTATTATGAAAGGTTCTATTTGTTATTAAAGAAAGAAATTTCCACAAGAAGGAAATACTCTTTTTTAAAAACCAGCTACTGTTGTGCTTTTATGTCACACGGTGGCCTTTGTCCCCAGTGGTAGCAGGGTGGTGATCCAGGAGTTGCTGACAGTGCCTTGTGGGAAGGAGGGATTATTAAAGGTCAAGGGTAGGAGGACCGGAAAGGAGCCAGCAGCTGGTGCTTCAGCAGGAAGGAGTGAGGGAAAGAGAATTCAAACACATTAAGGTGCTGCTTCTCTAGCTCTTCAGCTTTCTGCGAGAGTGAAATGTCTTTGAATTTACTTGATGTAAATTTTACATTCTGCTTTATAAAATGTGTTTTATTGTTAGTGGCTGGACAGAAAGGGGAACCATAGTCCTGCTTTGGTTTCAGGAGCCACTGAGTGTCAGGGCAGCGCACCGTGCGCAGTTTGGGCTGCAGGGCTGAGGCGGGAGGTGGCGCCATCCTGGGTTCCTTTAGGCAGGCAGGCACATCTGAGGGCAGATGGTAAGTTAAGTTCTGTTTTTATACTTTAAGGACATCTTGAGCTCTAAACTGAATGGAAAATTTAACAAGCATCTCCAGCCATCTTCCACGGTACCTGAATGGAGGGCAAAAGATAATGATCTACGGTTACTGCTGACAAATGGAAGGATAATTAAGTACGTAAAGTAGAGCAAAGTGTCATACAGATGAGTTTGCCTTGGATTCCCTCTGTTTAACCCCTAGTCCCCACCAGTGCACATCCGACTCCCATACAGGGAAAGTGTCTCAGTTCTCCTCTCCAACTGGAGATTAAGGGGGAGGGCATACTATTTGGCTGCAATGTCGCACTGTTTTGTGACTTGATTATTTTCCCCTCTATGTGCAGGGATGAGAGACAACCCTTCGCAGATCCAAGTCTTTATACAGCAGATAGTGAAAATGAGGAGGACAAGAGAAGGACAAAAAAGGCAAAAATGAAGATGGAAGAGAGTTCAGGAATAGAAGGGGTGGAGAATGACGAGTCTCAAAAACCATGTAACAGTATGTTTGTTTTCATGGCCGTTTGAAGGTCTGCTTATTACCTACGTGATAATACGTAAAGTCATGTGCTAATCTTAAAGGTCTTAAGTTTGTAGTAGGACTGAAAATTGTCCTGTCCCTAATACTCTTTGGAGAAACCTGAAGTATTTCTGAGTAGTGTATCCATAAGGGAAACATGAATGTGACTGCCAATCAAGGTATCGTGCCCAGGGAAGGTGTTTTTAGTGACGAGGGTATGTGCTGGTCAGTGACACCCTTGTTGGGTGACAGTTTTTACAAGAGTGACATGAAAGCTTTTGCATCTTATGGGCCTCTACTCAAAATAATAAGATAGTCAGAAGTTTAATACAGTTTCTTTTTATTTATTTATTATTTTTTTAATACAGTGTCATATATAATTTTAGCTAACATGTATATGGTTTTCAGAATTAGGAGTCATATATAATTAGCTCTCTGAAGCTACTAGTAATCCATGTATTGTTCTGTTTGATGGCCTGTTGACAGGAAGATCTCTACTTGCTTACTAATTGGTTATCATCAGTGTGACAAATAGTAACGCCTCCTCCTTCTTGAGATCGTTCTTCGTTGAGTGAAGTCTTAATTTCTTAGCATTTTTTGGGGCCTCCTTATACCCTCCTTCTATTTTAAAAAGTGGTTAAATACTTTGATAACTTGGCAAGAAAAATTAACATTTCATCTGTGTTGAATACCTCAGTTCCAGCTAATTCTAAGTAAATTTGGTATTGCTGTAGTTGGTGACTCTGCATGTGTCACGTGCCAGGGGAAAGGCAGCTAATCAGTGGAGTTATCAAACAGTTGTTAGTTGGCAGTGCCGCGTGGGAGAGAAGAGCAGTGGTAAAGCCTGCTTTTTAAGCTTGTTGAATTCACTATTTGAGTGCTTTTGAGGTTTAGAAGAGTTATCTTTTTGTTTTCTGTTGAGAGAAAAAATGCAAGAGGGAAAGTGAAAAGCATCTTGTAGGCAATTTTAGCATCGGAGGTTTTTTTCTGGAAAGAGATAGAAAATTTCCACGCAAATGAGGAATGTACCATCATGTTCAGTAAATGCCACAAACGTTTTAAGAGTACAGTGCAATCTGTATCTTGGTCAATTCGGGAGAAAAGTCTTTGGGGGAAGAAAGGAATGAAGAAGATGAAAGCAGTGGAAATGGATGGAGCCAGGGCAGTCGGGACATACGCGGAAGCTGGTCTGACTTCAGGTACCACCCTGTTCATAAGCTTCCACTGACTTTCTCTTTTTCTCTCTTCCTTTCTCTTCGCAGGGTTTTTTACAAGTGTGAAATCAAAACTCAGGAATCGATCATCAGAATATTCTGATATTTCTGATTCAGAAGACTCTGGACCTGATTGCAATGCACTGGTATGCCCAAACCCCTGTGACTTGTGCATTGTTTGATGGAAAGATGACACCTCCTTTCCTACACCTGTGGGGGAAAATAAATGACAGCTTTTCCCAAAGACCGTCTCTATGACCTTTGTGGCACAAGGTCTTCCCTGTAATGGTAATCACACACACACACACACACACACACGCACGCATGCGTGCGCGCGCATCCTGTCATGTGACTGTTTACATTTGATAAACATAGCTTTTGTCTGGTTTTAGAAAGGGTGGATGGAGATACTGTTCTTACATTTCTCATATTTCTCATCGGTTATATTTCATTTCACTTTAAAGAAAACTTGTACTGTATGTTTTTTACTAAGGAATAATATACTGTAATCCCTAGAGATGTTAACTCTGTCATAGGAAGTACAGAAATAATTCCGTGATAATTAAGATTCTAACTTTGCCTAGACTGATAAAATGTTTTTAGTTAGTAGAGACTTAATCAGATTTCTTATATAGATTTGCTTCCATTTAACTATTTTTATTATCTCAGAAAAATAATTTTACCACTGAAGAGTCTGAAAGTTCAGGTGATGAAAAGAAACAAGAAATAACATCCAACTTCAAGGAGGACTCTACTGTGATGAGGAACTTCCTTCAGAAGGGCCAGAAGCCATCTAGAAGTGAAATTCCAATTAAAAGGTAAGCTTTCTGATGGTTAGTAGTCTTACTACATTGTGATGTAAACTATATGAAACTCTGTGCGTATATGAAAACATTATTTATTTATTTATTTTATTTATTTATTTTATTTTATTTTTTTTAAAGATTTTATTTATTTATTTGAGAGAGAGAATGAGAGACAGAGACCATGAGCGGGAGGAGGGTCAGAGGGAGAAGCAGACTCTCCGCCGAGCAGGGAGCCCGATGTGGGACTCGATCCCGGGACTCCAGGATCATGACCTGAGCCGAAGGCAGTTGCTTAACCAACTGAGCCACCCAGGCACCCCAAAAACATTTTTTAATTTTAAATGTTACTGAAGATGCCGAACGAAGAAATAAGCTCTCATCCTTTTGCTTAACTTCTCTTTAGGGAATGTCCTACCTCGACGAGCACAGAGGAAGAAGCTATTCAGGGCATGTTGTCTATGGCAGGGTTGCACTACTCCACATGTTTACAGAGGCAGATACAAAGCACAGGCTGCAGTGGTGAAAGAGACTCTCTCCAGGATCCCGGCGGCTGCCACAGCAGTAACCATGAGGCTAGACAGGTGTATCGCTGTGATAAACCAGTGGAATATGGTAAGAAACATAAATGATTGGTCTCTGAAAAGTAACATAGGACCCCCAACTTCAGGGCTCTGTAATCCTAGTTGAGGTTAGACATTATGAATAAGAATTGCACATCTGTAGTTGGAAATGATGTTAAGCGTATTGGCCAAAAAATACATAATATTGACAAATACAAGATACAAGTTATAAGAACTCAAAATGTAAATTAATGGCTGGAGAATTATGTTCACCAGCATAATCCTACCACTGCTATTGTAAGACACTTAGTACTTGTTTCCTTTCATAAGCTGTTCCGAGTGGAAAGAGTGTTGAGACGTCTTACGTGGTCCGCTAGGCTTGAACCATCAATCCTCTTTCCTTACGCAGGAGGGAAAACAAGTTTTTTTTTTTTTTTTTTTTAAAGATTTTATTTATTTATTTGAGAGAGAGAATGAGATAGAGCATGAGAGGGGGGAGGGTCAGAGGGAGAAACAGACTCCCTGCAGAGCAGGGAGCCCGACGCGGGACTCGATCCAGGGACTCCAGGATCATGACCTGAGCCGAAAGCAGCCGCTTAACCAACTGAGCCACCCAGGCGCCCGGGAAAACAAGTTTTGATCCGTTTCTGGTTGAGGACATTCTCCTACTTGAAAAAGAAGTATTGGGAAAGAGAAGACTCAGTGACAGTACCCGTGATGGCCATGTAGTGTTTTGTTCTCTGTGCCTTTGGGGGAAATTTTGTTGCCCGAAAGTCTGAGGAGGAAGGGGGAGAAGATGGTACCACAAGAAAACCAAATGCCTGTTGCAGAAATTGTGTTCACTCCCGCCTAGTTGTGTGAATTGTATACCAGCAACCTGACATCCATTTCACTTAATTCTTGAAACCAGATTTTGGTGTATGTAGTAAGACTTTTACAGGTAGAGGCAAGAAGACTTCGTGAAGTTAGTTGAACTTGCCCATCTTTACATTGCGGTTATTATCCAGTGGCGTTGGAATTGGAACCCAGGACTATTTGATCTCAAAATCTTGGCTTATTGTGTAAGAGGAAACTGAGGTTTAGAGAGGTTAAGTAACTTGCCTAAAGATGCATCGGTAATGGAAAAACTCAAATTCAGGTCTGGGCTTGTCTGTCCACACCATTCTGTCTCCCTGTCATTTCTTTGGTCCTCACTTGAAAAGAAGGCTTCTATGAAAGTACTGCAGAGTTCAGGCAAGCATATGCCTTCATTCTGTATGGAAAAATATACTGGTTTTAGAGAGTATATTGCATTTGGCTTTTCCATCTACAACAGATGGCCATAGAATTTGACTCTGGAGCTTCCAGCATCTGGCACAAAACCTGTCATATAGAGGCAGTCTTTGAGAGAATTTGAAGAATTAACATGCTGGATTGTGAGCTGGTGACTCTCTTGTTTTTGAGAGGGAAAGCAGTGTGGTGGAAAGTGTATGAGTAAATAAAGAGTTAACATATTCGTTTTTTAATAAAACGTCAACCTAAATGTACTTTCAGTTATAACATTAGGTTAATTTTGCTTGTTATGATCAAATTTGTGTGGAGATAATTTAATGAAAACTTCTGTTTAGGGTACCATGTCAAGACCGAAGAACAAGACTTGAGGAGCTCTTCCTGGATTAAACAATTCGATACAACTTCCAGATTTCATCTTCAGGTATATGCAAGGCTTGAAACATCGAAAGGAGATTTAGGATTGTCATTAACTCTGTTTTTACTTTCTATTTTTTTTACTGCAACCAGTAATTAACCGTTAGATATGGAAAGCTAAAAAATAATTTACAGTTAAATGCTCATTTGAGCAGCTGTCCGTTTTTAGGAATTCTGATGTAACAACTAATGCAAGGCTCACGGATAGACTGCAATTTGGAAAAGAATAGTTGATTGAAGGAAAGTTAAAAACTCCTGGCAGCCAACACTTCTAGGTTATGTCTGGCTAGAAGGAAAGGGGGGAAAAAAGTACCCTGAGGATCTCTTTTTAATCTATGACATTGTTTCTTGAACATTTTTAGACAGTAAATTTCTTTGAGAATTTGATGACAGTTATTGACTCTATTGCCAGGAAAGTGTTCATCATCAATACTGATTTTTGCATAGCATTTTCTCATGGTTTTGTGCCCCACCCTTACCAGCCCAGACCATCCATTAACTCCAGATTAAGAGCCCTTGCTCTAAGAGAAGACACTTGATGTCTTGGGATGCCAGCGTATTAATGCTTATACAAACAAAATGAACCTCAAATAGCTTTTTGAAAAGCCACAGCTTTTCCAGTAGCACCAAACAAGAAAAGCAATATGACCTTTTGCTATAAACTTTGGAAAATGACAGCCAAAGAATCAAAATTCTCATGCTGCAGAGTAGAGTCCTCTAACTTCTCCAACCCCAAGCATACACTGAGTAGTGGAATCTTAGGTGTTTGTTTAAGTAGGCTCCATGCTGGGATGTAGGCTCCAATGCGGGGCTTGAACTCAGGACCCTGAGATCGAGCCAAGATCAAGAGACGGACGCTTAACCAACTGAGCCACTCAGGCACCCCTCAAGGGTGGTTTTTATTTTCTTCATGTAGCTTATCTACATTTTCTAAATACTTACACATTTTACAATGAGAAAAAGAGCCAAGTTATTTTTTAAGGCAACGTTTTGTAAGTACAAGTTCTTTTAATAGAAGAATATGCTCCAGAATCAAAGGTCAAGGAAGGAATCCCTTAACTATCAGTAATTCACTTAATTCAGTGTGTGATTTTATAGTGTCTCACCGGTCATTACATTTATAACTAATTAGCATTATAGGATTCAGTATTGAAAATAAGCTGTTATTGGGGTGCCCGGCTGGCTCAGTCGGTAGAGCATGCAACTCTTGATCGCAGGGGTGTAAGTTTGAGCCCCACGTTGGGTGTAGAGATTACTTAAAAATAAAATCGTTTTTTAAAAAAGTAAGGTATTATTTAAAGCTAGCTGTTGTTTTTATAATTGTCTTTGAAAATAAAGAAGGAGAGGACGGATGATTAGCAAGATCACCTTAGAGAAAATCAGATTTCTTTTGCCTGTAATGCTGTTTTTAAAACTTATTTGACCATTACAGAATTAGGAATTTATTTTACATCACACACACACAAACAGCTAGTTTCATGAAACATCACATCTGCAGTATGCTCTTTCCACGTTTATATTTTCTTTTCTTTTTTATATTCTGGTCATGACCCTTTCTATTGGTTTTAAGACCTACCCGTCAGTAGCATTGTTGGTTTTTTCCTGATGGCTCACTCGGTGATCTCTTAAAGAGAGTGAAGGAAGAATTGTTAGAGGAAAACCAGGCTTGGGGCTCAGCACCTAGGTGCTTTTTTTAGCAAACAATTTAAATACAGTGGAGATGAACCTTAACAGAAGTTAGATTCTAAAAAGGATAGCGCACTACATCGTGAGAGAGACGGGATCTGTGACGTGCTGAGGAATTGGTAGGCCCACATGTCCCAGCCACGTGTTCCTTCCATGGCATGTCATGGCACATGCAGAATGCCATATTATAATAAATAATAGACGTTACATATTATATATGTTATATATAAATATACGCATTTAAATATATATGTATAAAGTTTATATAATATATAAATAGAAATAAAAATGTTTTCTTCTGGACTTGAGTTATGATGTAAAACTTCCATACTTGAGTCTTTTCATGCTGTGAGGTTTTAGAATGACATGACCATCCTGAAGGGGTGGTCGTCTGTGGCTGCTACATGTTAAGAAAACCAAAGTTCAGTAGTTGATTTCTTCTCTCCCTTGACTTGCTAGTGCATAGAGAGGTTAAATATCTTGCTTATCGTAAAGGAACTCTAAAAATCCAGCCTTATTTCCTTCCTTTTTTAGGATCTAAGTAGAGGCCAGAAATGCATCAAAAAGGAAGGTTCATCAGAAATCAGTCAGAAGGTACAAAGTAGGAATTCTGTGGACAGCAGTGGCTCAAGCCCTCAAAATGGGAAGTATACGCAGAATTCAAGCTTGATTTCAGGGGCGTGCCAGATAAATAATGGCAGCATAAGCCCAGAAAGGCCAGTTGGTGAAACTACCTTTTCAGTGCCCCTTCACCCCACCAAGAGACCTGCATCAAATCCACCACCTATCAGCAACCAGGCAACAAAAGGTAACTTTGACACATCTGTGGGCTGAGTGTATTTTGGACCATGTATGACGGTGACAGCGGCAGTTCAGAGAGACGTAATGGTCCCTCCCCTCAAGCCGCTTCCAGCCTGATGCACTCTGGACGGCGCAGTGAGGGCGGTATGCACAGGTTCCCGTGGGAACAGAGAAGAAGGCTCCCTAGGTCGGGCCTGAGGATTGGGAGTGGCTTCCTGGAGGAGGAGGTAGATCCCGATAAGGATGGTAAGGGGTTAGCTCTGCTGGGTTGGGGAAGTGCCAGAGTAGACCGCAGTGAAGGTCAAGGAGATAGTATGGCTCACGGTACCAACGTGAGAAACAGTACGTGGGCTGTTTATGAAAGTGCAGTCAGTTTTGTGGCCGAAGCACAATTTGAGGCAAGATACGGTCAGGGCTCCTGCTCAAGAGAGAGAGCGGCAGGGATCAGACTGTGGGTCGGCCTGGTAAGTCACGTGAAGCAGGTTGGCCTTTATCTCTCAAGTGATGAGATGGAAGGTTCGAAACCGTAGAACTCCAGGAGTGTGACTTTGCCCCTTCAGAACACCGAAAAGCAGCGCTCGCCGCATAGCTCTGCCTTGAAGTCTGCCGGGTGCTGTCTGTCGAGAATGATTTTCACTATTATCTACGCTGTTGTTGCTGTCTTACAGGTAAACGTCCAAAAAAAGGAATGGCAACAGCCAAACAACGTCTTGGGAAGATCCTCAAGTTGAACAGAAATGGCCATGCCCGTTTCTTTGTGTGACGAGCTGCTGTTGTGGCCACTCTTCCCTCTGGAGACAGACCGGTCTCGGAGGCGCGCGAGCCTGGCGCTGCCGGCGCGCCCCCGCCGGAGCAGTTTGCATGTACAGTAGAGAGCACTGCCTGAAGAACAAAATGAACCAGATGCTGCATTTTCACTGTGCCACACCCACTCAGCAATAACCGTTCTGGACCTGGTGGGGGAGAGGAAGAAGGAGGGTAGAACCTTAAAAGGAGACCTTGAACTGGAAAAGGTCTCTTGTCAGGGCTTGAATTTCATTTTGTTGTTGGTAGTGTCTTGATTTATTTTCAGTGGTAGGGTAAAGAATTATCAATAATTTATTTAACAGATTTTTTTTTTAAAGTTAACAGCTTTTAAATTCTTTCTTTTTTAAAGCTATTTATTTGGAAGATTTCTGGAGAACTGTCTCACTAATTTAGATTTAAGAATGTGAAAGTTTTTAAATTATTTTTGATAGTGTGTATGTTACATGTGGGGAAGAGCCACGGTAACAGTAACTAGTCTGGACTCTTAAATTTGATATTCAGGTTAAAGTCTTAAACAGGGATTTGATGCATTAATTATTTTAAATTAAGATGTATATGAAAATCATTTTATTTTATATATTTCATGTGTTTTTTATAAGCTATTAGCTTCGCTTTTGCTAACATCCAAGGTGCATACTGTTATCCAGGTCGATTACCTTATATCCCACCTTCCCTCTGCACTCCCCATCCTTTTGTGACGACGCAACAAGACTCTTCTCTTTGCAGGGAAACACTTTCATAGCCAACGTGTAAGAATTACATAAAAGATCCCACGTTTCTCTTTCGTTTGACATTGCAGTTTTCTTCTAATTCTATAAAAATAGGCTTCTTGCATTTTCATTTTTGCTGATGATATCTGGGTCCCAAAGAGAACAGCTTTAATATCTTTTTCCTACTTGTGGGAAAAGGGTTATAAGTTTGGTTAAATTGTCGCGTTTATAGTTTTTCAAAAACATTTGTAACTACAGAGGGCCTTCTTCACACTGCTGGTGTTGGAGGGCAGGACGGGCACCTGCCCCAGAGGTTATATTTTATGACGCTCTTATTCTGTGTACCTAACTTGTTGGAAAATAATGAGATATGGTTTGACTTAGTATATTCAAATCTGCATAATCCGTAATATAATAGGACTATACTATATTAAGTTGTACAGAAGCAAGCATGTTGGAGTAGGTCTTTTGGGTGTATGTGTGTCTAGTTTCTTACTTCTTCACCTTCTAAAGAATTATTTAAGATACAGATTTGGAGTAAAATGGGTGCTTCTTGCAGTTTCTTCCATCTGTCCTAACTTAACCAGTGCATATTGAGATTAAGTATCTGGTTGAGCTTTAAGGAATCATTTCTCTCCTTTATGCACAGTTCTTACTAAACGCCAGTTTTCGGTTGCTCGCAATAGCTTATATTTTCCCTTTTCCTCCCCATGGCATAAAAAGAAGTGATTTCTGGGGCTGGGGTGAAGATATTCCCAATTCTGACAAAAGAGCATTTTACAAATTTCTACAAAGAAAATAGAGGCAAATAGGATAAAATTTATTTTTATGGAGAAGTAATATGGCCATATTATGGATTTGTCTCTTTTTTACTCAGCAAGGTAGCAGGACTTTCCCTTCTGTATTAAGTATCACTTGAAGCTCTAAGAAAAAAAATCTATACCATCATCTTTCATGGTTGCATTCAGATGTGTATTTTCAAAGAGAAATATTTCTTATTCTGTCTCCATTTCAATATCTCATGGAATAAGTACAAAATAGCTTATGGATTAACCTTTTTGGTCCAAGTGACTGGACCAAATTCTGGGACTTATCTGGGTGTCAGGAAAAACAATTTTTATGGAAACACTAAGTGTCTGTAAAGGGCCTACTTAGACTCTGTCTACACTTTGCCAAAACTGGTTAAGAGATGGATATAATCAGTCATTTGGTCATTGGATCTCAAGATTGTCAAAAGTCGGGGTTTGACTGATTTTCCTACCTCCCAATATATTATTGTGATGTTTTGGTTTTCTGTAGACACCGTTTTAGTGTTAGAGTTCACATGATTTTGTTTTGGTTTAAGAGATCAGAATTATAATTCGTTCTTCCAGCTACATCATGATCTTGGGTTCTTTTGTTTTCTTAACATTTTTCATAGCTCTAAGTATTTCTAATTACCTGACTTCTTTTCTTTAGCTATAAAAATTAAAATCAATTTATTTTTATAAATTAAGATGGTGACCAATATCTGCCCTGTGTACTTAGGCCAATAAATCTAATTTTAAGTAGCCAGTATGTGTAAGTATTAAGTGAAGGTACTGTGGATTCACTTTTGGCAGGTTTAGCCCATGAACTGGCTAAGTTAAAAAAAACTTGCAGTAAGATAATCTAAGCACTATAACAGAATCATGTGTCTTTCTCCAAATTGGTGAAAATTCAGCCTACTGGCCCAGTGAGTGGCCTGGTCAAACTTGTTCTAAACTTACTGGCTCTGATGCATCCCTTTATGTCATGGAAGTGGCTGGACTTTGAGGTGACTGCAGCCTGGGTCTGGATTCAGCTGTGATAGACAACCTCTCATGTTTTCCTCAATCTCGTTTATAAACCCTTCTACCACACAGACACTGCAGTTTAGACAAGGAGACAACAGTGGTGGCATTTAGCTAGTTAGGTGCAAATAAATAGGTAAAACAGTTGGACTTAACGTATGCGATTTTAATGGCAGTAGTAGATAATGATTTTTCTGTATTGATTCAAGTAAGTGACTTCTGTTAACCTGGGATCCCCGGTACTGTAACTCATAATGTCACATAAGGACATTAAGGAAGTCAGGACTGATTAAGGAAGTCAACAGTACAAAACTGGCAGTTTATAGTAGTGCAGCATCCTAGAAATACACTGAATTTCATAAGCATACAGAACTAAAAATCTGACTGACATCATAGAAACTCAGAGAAAACAAGACCATTGTTATCACGACTTAAATACTTAGCTTGAATACTGATCTATTTTTTAACAATCCTAATGATTGCCTTTTAAATGAACTCTACTGTATTGACCTGTATGATGGCAGCAGGTATTTATCCAACGTCTGTGTGCCCAGTACGACTTAGCACTGTGGGGGAATATAAAGCTGAAGTTGGGGTCTCTGCTCTTGAAGGTATCTTCTCCAAGAAATAAGCAGTATTATTTTCATTTCTCAGCAAACTTTAAGCAAAAGAGGGCCCACGTATTAAGAAAAATAGCATAACTTTATTAGTTTCAACTGAAATGTACAACTGTAGAAGTGGAAGTACATTTTTTTTTTAGTTTTTAAAATTTAAGAAACATTTCAAAAGTTAATAGTTTAATGTTCGTAATAGAGAGGTGTGGTATATAGCATGGAAGGGAGCACGAACCTGGGTTTTTGTCCAAGTTCTGTCATTTATGTATCAACTGTGTGACCGTAAATAAGTCACTTACTCTTTCTGAGTCTTGGTTTTCTCATTTGTAAGTTTGGATAAAAATGGTGGTTAAGAAAAACATAGAAAAGCATTCCTTAATTATTAACACTTTTTATACTTGCAGATAATTTATCATGATTTAAGTTACAACTGACAATGCACATTTATATGCTTTTTTAAGTGAAAACTATTACTCATAAAATTTGTTTCATATCAAGTATATATATGCCCAGAGCATGCTACCTAAAACCTCTGAAGAATTGCTAACAAGGTGTTGAATTAAAATCAGAATCCATGCTTTGAAGTGAAAGAAAAAGAAGTGCGATAGTTTATGGATAAGAGTGAGAACGTTTATCCCCAAGTGATCATTAAGATGATTTTAAGGAATTCAAAGATGGTTTTAGGTTTTGCTCAAAGAGGAATTAGCACAGTACTGCTCCACAGATTCTGCCTACTCTTCAGGCACTAGATAAAAGTTGGGGTCTCTGCTCAAATAAGTCATGGAATTAAAATGCTGTAGCAACTACCCAAGGAGCTAGGGAAAAAATAGAAGGTATTCAGAAGATGGGAACCAACAAAGACAGCTCAGGGTTGGCTAACAGCAGCTTGTTGGGTAGAGGGAGAAAGCACTGTAGTGCTGGGCAGGAGACCTGACTGGACATCTTCAAAGGAGAAGATTCTGCCCTTTTCAAGAGATGCTGTCTATAGTCATAGGGCTACTCCCCAAAGAGGGGATGAGTAATTGTACGGCCCACTTGACTACTGCCAGAAGTATCTATTGCAGCATGTAAGCATTTTGCAATTTCATATTAAGAAATGAATAATGTAAATCTGAAAATTTTTCAAAAGCTCATTTCCCCCCATTAACTATTAAGCTAATTGCTCCCTCCGAAAAGAGAAGCTAAAAATCATCAGTCATTTTCAGATATCCTAGGCCTTTATCTAAAGCAATCTTGAGAAGGTTGAGCTTCAAATTGTGAGCCTAGGAAAAGAGTGTTGCCAGTAAATAAAGGAGACAAATGAAAGCCAGGAGGGCAGTGACTCACCTGGGGTCACAGTGAACCCTTAGACCTCAGGTACCTTGCCTCCTCAGCCTCTGTTGTGTGACACTGTGCATCCTCTGCTCATCCAGTGGTGGATGATGATCACACGCTTACTACAAGTCAGGTGGAAAGAAGGGGGGACAAATAATATACTTACTACGTTGCTGATGAACGTAATGTAATTTTAATACTGTAGCCTTACTAAAAACCCTTTTGTTTTGTTTTTCACTGAACGTCATGCCGTAAGTCAAATATTTGATACCCTTACATAAACAAAAATTTTAAAGTAAGGTCGTTAAGCAAATGCCTGCCTATCCAAAGCAATTAGCTTATCATGACTGTGGTTTTATTCTTTTATAGTATTTCTTCCCTTTATAATGGGTAGGGAAAATAATACTCACTTGCCTGCATTCTACCCCTTAGACTCTCCCACTCACCCTTGGTGCCCTTTCTGGTGTCCTAAAGCTTTGTCTTAATAAGTGCAAAATTAAATTTTTTGTTAAAACCTTTTTGAAACTGTATTCAGTGATTCTTCCAAGTTTATCTGCTCTGCACTATTTCACTAATAAACCCTGGCTACCACGTAGCCCTTGACCTCCAAGTAGTTTACCTATGCAAGCCCTGTGACATTCTGAATTCACTTTTCTTTATTTCAGAAAGCAGTCCTAAAGGGAACTTAATCATAAAGATAAACCTTGCCTCCACCCAGTTTTATTTTGGCCATTTCCTTTTCTAAATGTCAGCTCTTTTTCCCCAAGATTTTTCACCAAAACAATGATCATAAGTGCTGGAAAATATAACATTTTGCAGGAATAAAGTAACCCAGACATACTTTTACATTTCTTTGGTGGATTTTGGTTGGTAACAGTTACCAGCATTAAGTGTGATATATAATGAGGAGTTGATTTCTTGCCTAGAATCATTTCTTCCTTCTAAGATTCATTAAGTAACCTTTTATTTTTACAAAGCATACATAGAACTTCCACATTATAGTCAGGGACCTGAGGTGTAACTTGCTAAGTGAACCCCAAGGTTATTTTATCTTGCAAAAGAAACCTAAACCAAACTAAGGGCCTTACATTTATGGTTAGACTGAATCAAAAGCTATAACCTCAGTTTTTTCAAAAAACAGCTTCTGACTGCAAAAGCAAGTCACGCAGTTGTTAGGTATGGAATAGCACTGATCAGGAAACACATATGCATCTTTGCAGACTGTATTTCCTTCCGAAAAGACTTTTCTACTTTTAATATAAATTAAGCCATAACAGTTTCATGCTGTGGAAAGAGGGTGAAAAGGTTCATTTTAAGAGATTATATAATATGAATTTTCACATTTACTGTGAAATGTCTAACTTTGCCAGTGCTTCAGCAGGTTTTTTTTGGGGGGTGGGGGTGTAGAGGGTGGCGATGTGGGGGTAGTATTGGTTTTAGGGGTTCTAAATCTGTGAAATTTGAAAAGGGGACAGTTGTTGGCTATGGTACTTACTAGTTTTGTAGTAATGTTTTGCTAGCCAGACTGACTTTCCTTAACTGATTTTTATGCCCATGGTCCAAGGTGACTGTTACCCTTTCTTGTTTGGGGTGTCTGCGGAGTAGTGTCTTGTCTGTTTGTATAGGCAGTCAGTATGTGTGCACATGTGTGTCCTTTGAATACAGAAGCACACGGTGTGACAGCAGAGTGGGGTGTGGCTGGGAAATGGGATGCTGAAGCTTTAAGAGCATTTTTTTTTTTTGATTCATAACAGTATTTCCCATCTTTTGCCTGCAGGCAGGGAAAGTGTACAGTATTTATTTTGTTTCTGTTTTAAATTTGTAAGTCTTTAAGTAGCTTACATTGGTTATTATAGAGGAGGACAGTGACTTGTTTAAAGTTGTATTTAGTATTCTTACTTTCCAATTTCTGTATTTTAAAATATTGAAATTAAAATTGTATTACTTCTGTTTTGATTTTTTTAGCACTCGGTGTATTTTTTGCTCATTTTGTTTGAAAGTATAAATGTTGAAAGTTGTATAAAATGTGTCTTTGAAAGAAAAAAAAAATCTGAATTCTATATCCAGTTCTGACTTTCCGTTCCCTTTTTCTGCTTATTGACTCATAGGAGATTTGAGAATGTGAAAAACTGTGTCAAACTTATGCTTCTTACTATTTCTGAAGATTTAAATGTGAAAAGTAATGTGTCCTATTCTTTTATCAGAAGTATTGCTGGGTAAGCAGTTGCCGAAAGAGAGAAACGAACACAAAGAGGGTAATTGGCAAGATGCTGCTGTGGGTGTTTACTGACGGACATTTAAGAGCACTCATTGCCCCCAACCCGGGCACGCCACAAATATTCATTGAGCACCTGCTGTATACCAAGTGCTGTTCTAGTGCTGGGGCTGCAGGAGTGAACAAAACACAGCCCCGGTCCTCAGGGAGCTTAGGGTAGATGTGAAAGTGGGGGGCAAGGATGTGCCATGGTGACCCACTGCCTGAGTGAAGGTGGGAGTGGAAGTGCTAGTTTAGTGAGAAAGACGAATTCTGTTTCAGACATGGTGCTTTTGAGGGAACCCAGCGCCTGGTCTGGGATGATATGTGGTAAAGTGAGGAGCCGCAGACCAAGGAAGAAGGAATATGGGGTGGGGGGCAGCGCTTGAGGGCAGAAGAAGGGCCTGGGAAGGGGGCCGGAAGTGGCTAAGAGTCCATTCTGGAGGAGGACCCTGAGAGCAGGTCATGGAAACCAAGGCTCCAGAGGGAACAGAGGCCTGTTCTCCTCCTGTACCTAATACCTGCAAGACCGTAGGTATGCCCGAGGGCTCACACTTAGCGTACCTCAGTTGCTGTTACAAGAGGGTTATCCAAAGCACGTTTACGCTCTTTTCATCTTAATTGGCCTGCTTTGGTCCAGCTGATTGAGACCTAAATCTGAACTAATCTGTTCTTTTGTAAAAATCCACAGACTGTCTGTATACCTGTGGGATGCTCAGCCTTCATGAGGCTCATTAGTTACTAGTGATCAGGACCTACTCTCAGACTTGTAGCCTGATTTTTGTGTTTGCACCAAGCAGGGAGGCTGAGACAGACCCATCACTGTGCGATGCGGCGTGTTACCCACGCCTCATTTTAGATTGAGAAGAATCAGGTGCCCTACAGAGTTTTGAACAGAAGCCCTCATTATGTTTAGTCCATGTGAATACTTCCTGTGTACAAGGCAGATTTTCATTTCTTCCTCAGACTAACCCAGCGAGGTAGGTGCTATATTGTCCATTCATCCTACAGATGAAAGGCTAGAAAGGGTAAATAATATGTCTGGGTTCACACTCTAATAAGTAAAATTGAGACTTTAATCAAAAGCCTATTTTTCCTGAATTTGTCTTTCTCTAGTTACATACTTCCAATTGTTAAAAAGGAATAGATGGGGGACGCCTGGGTGGCTCAGTTGTTAAGCGTCTGCCTTCGGCTCAGGTCATGATCCCAGGGTCCTGGGATTGAGTCCCACATTGGGATCCCTGCTCAGCGGGGAGTCTGCTTCTCCCTCTCCCACTCCCCCCCCCTCGTGCTTGCTCTCTCATTCTCTCTCTGAAATAAAATAAAATCTTAAAAAATATATATATATAAAAGGAATAGATGGTCCTTAGGAATGGTTTGGGTTCTAAACATTTCTTTGTAGGTACCCATTTTGGATTGACATATATTTTCTTCAGAAGTTTTCTGTCATTCAACTTCAAGTCTAGTTTTCCCAGGGACAGGCACACACGAAAGACAGTTTATCTTCTAGGATTTCACCTTCTAGTGGAGAATAGGCTGTAAACAAGGGGCATGGGATACTGTGGAAATACATGAACCTAACAGCAGTTCCCAAAGCCACCTACCAAGGGCATGAGTAGAGGCTGTGCTCGGCGCACGGCTTCCATGGCCCGGGACACGGCCCCTGTGAGATTGCAGCTGCCTCCCTCCCTGCTCCTGCCACTGCCCTTCCCACGCCGAAGCCTCTCCTGCCATTTTCTGCCCCTCAGCTCTGTAAGCGGGCCAGCCCAGGTAAGGAAGGAGAAAGACAAGGCCTTCTGCCCGCCTTCCAGAGCCTGGCTTCTCTCCAGCCCACCACCCCCACCCCCAAAAACTCCTTCCCATCCATGTCCTCATCTTCATTCACTTCCAGGTTCTCCATTCCCCCTTCCTGGGCTCTTCCCACCCTCGGTCCCAGAAATACCCTTTGCACTTTTTAAAGTGCTAATTCTGAAATGTTGTGAAGTCCCTTCTACGCCAGAATTGGAAAAAGGAAAAAATGAAGGCCCTACAAATAGAAAGTAACATGTAAATTCCGTACATTTTTTAAGATAAAACCTGGGACAAAAGATCCTCAGCAGTAAGAATAGTATTTGACCTTCCCCTAATCATTCACTCTAGAAGCTGCCCTACCACAGATATATCTGTGTCTGGAATAACGCCCACCAAGTTAGTGGTGGCTGGTGACCTGGGGAATGAGAGTGGGGAGAGCATTGAGCCTGGGAACTTGTACACACTGAGGTTTCATGTTTTTGGGTTTTATCCCAATTCAAACAACTTGTCAAATTTGTATTTAAAAGAGACAAATTTGTTCTGCCACAGGGTATGGGTTAGCTTGCCAAGAACACACTACTTACACTCTTGTACCTATTCACACCCATCAGAAATCAGGCCCTTGTGTTCCCGGGGTGCTGTACTGGCCGCCTAGCGGGGCTGGGACAGACACAGCAGGTCACCAGGGAGCTCTTTGTCCCTCCTCTGCACTTCTTACTCTGCAGTGTGTACTTGTTCCTTGTTTTGTCTGAACTCCCATCCTCAATGTGTTCTTTTATCCTTGGCACCTTCCAGAGTTTAGCACAAACCTCACCAAAAATACACTGAATGAACACATAAACCCAGTCCTTATTACCATGATTCTCTCCCTCTTTCTCTCTCTAGCAGTGGGATGATATGGGAGGGGACAGAAGGGGTAAGGTAAAAGAAAAATGCAGAACGATGAGAAAAGAACCTTATACAACTGTAGAATTCTGTTTCAACTATTAAGAGCTGTGGCGGGGCGCCTGGGTGGCTCAGTCGGATAAGCGTCTGACTCTTGATTTCGGCTCAGGTCATGATCTCAGGGTCGTGGGATGGAGCCCGAGTCAGGCTCTGTGTTCAGCGTGGAGTCTGCTTGAGATTCTCTCTTCCATTCCCTGTGCCCCTCACCCCACTCGTTCACTCGCGTGCTCGCTCTCTTTCGGTAAATAAATACGAGAAGATAAAATAAAAAACTGTGGAAACTCACCAATACAGTATTATAAAAATGAATGTTTCAAGTTTCTTTACAGCAAGAAAAAGAAGGTAGAATAGATTTTTCTTTAATGAGATAAACTGATTAGATAGCTCACGTAGAACCTAAAACTTTAAATTGTACTGTACTTGCTTTGTAAACATCAGTTTATATAGGTGTGCCTTGCTCTGAAAATACAGCAGTGGTTATATAGTAATGACTAATGTGTAACACTACAAAACTGATTGGGTGGTACCTAATTATGAAAGGCTTCTTTCTATCTAAAGGAGAGGAAAAAGAGCTCGCTGAAAGTTACTTGATTCCACAGAGCAGTATTTCTAGAGCTTTGAAGCAGGACCCTTCATGGGTGCTGTTGCTCTGCTTTATTCCTGGGCAGTGTGATGGTCGGAAAGGGGACAGCTCAGGGTCTTGGCAGGGCTCATCTTGGAAGGCAGATCGCGACACCGCTGGCCTGACCACGGATGAGCGTGTAAGTACGCTGAGCCCAGTAGAGACTTTGGGCTCTAAAGATTCCTGGTCAGAGAGAGGAGCCTGGTCAAGAGCAGGACCAACAGAACCCAAGCTCCAGGCTTAGTTCCTCAACTCCAGATCAACTCCACCTGGTGGACACCTTACACTTCCTGTATCAGATCCCAAATCCCACGTTCAGTCACAAGCAGGCTCCTCGGTGAATGGCCTCACCAACTTCAGTTTCCCAAGCCAGGTTCTTGGATGCTGTCCTCAAATTGACCCTCTCCCTACCCCAACCAGTGATTCACTTTAACATCAACAATCTCCCCACTGGATAAGTTAGAATGAAACTGTGCATTAGCTGGGCGCCTGGGTGGCTCAGTTGGTTAAGCGACTGCCTTCGGCTCAGGTCATGATCCTGGAGTCCCGGGACTCCTAATCGGGCTCCTTGCTCAGCAGGGGGTCTGCTTCTCCCTCTGACCCTCCCCCCTCTCATGTGCTTGCTCTCTCTCATTCTCTCTCTCTCAAAAAAATAAATAAAATCTTTAAAAAAAAAACAAAACTGTGCATTAGCTATGATTCCCTCATCTTAGAACAAAATGTGGACAAAAAGCTTCCTTAACTCCACATCCCCCTCCTCCCTGTAGTAAGGTCACTTGTTAACCACCACCTCTTGTTTCCCTTTACAGCAAAACTTCCTGCAGATACGATCTCCATTCACTGTTTCCATGTCCTCACTGCCCATTCGTGCTTCAACCCCCTCCAGTTTTGTTCTTACTATTCTGCCACCCACCATACTAGGAAGAAGCTCAGGACAGACTACCAAGTGATAAGCAGCCACAGAGACCCTGGGGGATGAGGGGCTATCTTGCATGTTCCAGCCGCAGCTGAGCTCCCAGCTGGATGCAGCTCCAGGAATGACTGGTTATCCCGTGCAGGGCAGAACTACCCAACTGATCTCAGTCAACTCACAAAATCATGAAAAATAAACCATTGTTTTCAGCCACTAAGTTTTGGGGTGGTTTGTTGCATAGCAATAGATAACACATTTCTCTACCCTCTTTCACTCAGTCTCTTGATGGCACTCAGTGTAGTTGATCATTCCTTCTTGAAATATTTAAATATTTGGCTTTCATCCTTCCCTCATTCCAGTTTTCCTCCGACCTCAGTGGCTGCTCCCTCTCAGCCTCAGCTCAGTCTTCATCAGAGAGGCAGATCCTCGGGCTTCTCTTCTCAGTTTTATACCCCTACCAGGTGATCTCATCAGTCTTGGGGGTTTAACCATCTCTGTTCACAGCCCTAATTCTGACCCCTTCTACAAGTGCCAGACTTAC